TCATGTATTTTCACATGGCAAAAGGCGGACAAGAGGACAATACCTAGATGAATTTGTGATGAGGAGTCAGCCATAGGATAAGTTCAGTCAGCCAACATTTATTAAACACTCACTGAACTCCAATGTTTCCAGACAGTGTCATAACTAAGTTTCACAACTGATCTGTATTCAGTAGGTGTGAAAACTGAAACTGCCTGGTTATTAAGTTGTGTGGCCAGACCATAAACCCATCCTCTTCTGTCAGGTTCAGCCCTTAAGCACACATGCCACAGAGTCAAAAACAACCTGGGTTTAAGTCTTGCCTCAGCTATTTACTCATGGTGTGGTGTATGGAAAATTACTAGACCTCTGTGTGTCTCAGAATCTTCCCCTATCTCATGGAGTGACTATAAGGATTAAGAAATCAACCACAAGCAGCACTTGCTTAGAACAGTGCTAAATGCATGTGGCTAGCTTTGATCACAATTCTGCAGACACTTTAGGTTCCAGAGAGTAAGTTCCACAAATGTTTGATTTAAATGCTGTTAAAAATATTTTTTACTATTTAAAATACCTTAATAAAAAGAAACATATATTCATGCAACGTATACCAAATTTAACACATATTCTCACTTTATATATTAATTTGTGTTGTCAGTTAACTTTTTGTACATAGACAAAGCAAAACTTTTCTTGTTCTTTCTGTTCATTTAAAAAATTTGCAGAGAATTTAAGGTAAGCAGATAAAAATAATTCTTACCATTGGTAACCACTTAGCTGTGTGAATCAGAATTGTCTTAACACTGCAACTGATGTAAAAACAATCTAAAACTGGAGGCTGAAGTGGACATAAGATTCTCATCTCTAATATTGTGTTGATCAGAAAAACATTATTATTTCCATCGACTGACTTTACAATAAGTAAATGTTAAAAAAATGTTTTAAAGCCTTTATATGAAAATGACTCACTTTCTTCTGTTTTATATATTTAAAGTTTCATGTAAATTTTCATTTGGAGCTAAGACATTTTTTGGCAAAAACATCTAACTAACACTTAACTTGACAAGATCTGCCTCTTTGGACTGGGGCTTTTTTTTTTTAGATCAAGGCTTGATTCTTATGCACCTTGTTTAAAAATTAGACTCTGATCATTAGGTCAAGAGAAAGAGTTACCCAAGCAGAGTTCTTCATTCTCCTCTACTCTCCCACCAACATTATGATGCCCTAGCGGCCTTAATAGGTATTTTCTCCTTTGATCTTCATAATAATCCTTAGACTTTGCCAGGCAGGTGGCATTAGTCTCATAAATGAAGAAGGTGAATGAGACTCAAAGAATATAAATGACTCCTAAGTTCATACAACTAAGCAAGTGGTAGGGTCAAGACTCAAATCAGAAGACTTCTGACTACTGATCCAGAGCTTTTTTCCACCCGTTTTGATGTCAAAGATGGTTGGGATTTGGGGGTTGGGCTTTGGGAGTTCAGAGGTGACCCTTCAGTCACTGCTGAAGCTGACAGAGATGCAGCCTGGCAAAACATATTTTATTCCTTGTTTGCTTTTCTATATGTTGACTAGGCTTTCTAGTGATTAACAAAACAATGTAGAAACTTGAAAAATGTTTTAATATATTGTTCTGGACTCTGTCTCACTTTCTGCAAGAGTCATTTGACATGATGCCTTGCTATGAAATCCACACATAGGTCTCAAACTCAGTGCTGGTTGATCTCCTAGGGTCTATGCCCCATGAGAACAGGGATAGTACTAGATATTTGTGGGCACAGCACATAGAGGCATCTAATTCTTATCTGTTAACAAATGTATGACAAAGTCAACTATCATTCTCTATCTGTTGGGGCTTTTTTGGATATTTTTTCCTTTTGCTACCATTGTTTTTGGACCATTATGGCAAGCATATAACAAAGTTCCTTGGTAACTCTTGACATTTTGGTACTGCCTTCCTCAGATTTTTTCTGCATATGATCATCAGTGTAATCTCAAAGCAATGTTTCTCCAGCACCTCTTAGAACAAGGCCCAGATTATCTTCCTAGGATTCAAGTTTCTTCATGAAATGGGCATACCTTTTAAATAGACCTCTGCTCTGGTCTCATCTCCATCGCTGCAGTCCCCTCGCTATGCAGCACATGCTCATTGCTGCTTTGCATCTCTGCCATTGCTTGTCTGTTTGCCAGATTTCATTTCTCTACACAGATCCAAATTGTACCCATGATTTCCTGCCTAATTCAACTCTAATTTTCTATGATCCCTGCCCCAGTAATTTTAGCCCATAAGAATTTTTATCGCACAAATTTTCTACTTAATGACACTTACATTATTCCATGGATTAGTTAGTCCAATTTCTATGAGGCTGTAGGCAACCATGTAAGATATTTAAATTGTACCCACACTGTCTTACCTTCCCACACTGTAGATGCCCACTAAATTGAAGTAAATGTATAATAAAGTAATTTATAGATTTAACTAATTGAAATCATCCCAAGGCACAGAGAGAACAAACAAACAAACAAACATATCCACGAGACATGTCTAATTCATGTGCCATGGTTATCTTAAGTTTCCACTGTACTTTTAATAAAAGAGACACCTACATTATAATTTTATAGCTTGCTTTTGTTTTTCCTCTTTGAGCATTGTCATGGTTATTAATATTTATCAAATGAAATCTGCACTGAAGCATATATAACCACCCAAGAATGAATTTATAGCAAATATTTAACTGCCTGCCTGCCTTCGAATTGGTTAATCAGAATGAGTGATGCATTAGTTGGTCAACTCCTTTCACCTGGAAAGATCGCTATCGATTTCCTTTATCGTGATCTAAAAGATTTAAGGAAAGTCTAAAAGCATTTCAAAAGATTTCAATAAGGAGGACATAACTCTGCTTTTCATAAACACTGAATGAAAAAAAACTAAATACAAAAAAAGATTATTTGAGTAAAATTCTGTCATTCTCCACTCGTTAGTGTGTTAAAAAATCATCTACAATATGAGTGAAAGAAAAATTCTGCTTTTATGTATGAAATGAGAAGAAAAGAGGTGCTGTAGGTCATTAATAACAGGGGATGTTTTGTACCTGTTCTGGAAGATGAATATGCATTTTGTCTTGGAGCTAGTCCATAAGTCAAATTCCTTTAAAACCGGCAGAGGCCAGCCTGGTTCTGGCTGCAGCCTGCATAGCCAGAAAAACAGAGGAAGAAGGGCCTACAACCAGCATAAAGTGTTTTCCACTTTGATATGTAAACATTGTTCCTTCACCTGAACTTGATGTCAGGGTAACTAAAAAACAAGAACCTTGTTGACGAAGCAGAAGCAATCTGCTGTATTCTTCTGTTTTGCAAAACCAGAGATAATCAAGGACTGTTATTTCAGATCCTGGCTGACCTAACTTTTAAGTTAGGAACCTAAGACAACTGGATAGTTAGGAATCTGACTACGAATCTGAGATAACTGGATAGTCTGTGCATATTTAAAAAAAAATCAACATGCCTCTTGAAAATCAGACTTAGCTGATTTTTTTTTTTTTGTTGTTCTCTTTATAGTCTTTTTTCTTTCTTTTTTCTCTATATTCCAGACTCCTCTGTTGTGTGGGATTTAATCTATTGGGTGCAAGTAAATGATGTAAACTGTACTCATATTTTCAAAAAGCCCAAAAAAGATGTTTAGGCTGTTAACAACATAGAATTCTACCCTACAGTTGAACTGGGATAGGTGACTTTGGACAGAAATCCATGAAAATTTTATGAAGTTTTCCTTAAACGTCTAATTGAAAATTGCTACTGTTTGTGTTACTGTTGATTCATTTCATTTAAGTCTTGGCCCTGTAGATTCTATTAATACCTCATTCTTGGGGATGAAAAACAATGTTCAATGCACACATTTTTAAGAAAAACAGGCTGAGTGGGAGATGAAGACTTTGTTACCCACCCTAGTGCCTTCTTGAGCAATGCAGTGGGCAGCATTTCTGTATCTAAACATCAAAAAAGTACAATAAAAACACACTATTATAATCTGGGACCACTAGCATACATGCAGTCTTTCTTAACCAAAACAGCTTTATGCCGCGTATGGCTGTGCTGAAAAGGAGGAGCACCGTCCTCTCCAGGCACATGCAGTGTGCCTCGGTACTCATGACTCCTGCCGTGTTCCCAGAACTGAGCTCATCTGTTATTGAAGTTGCTTTTCTTACACCCAACCCACTTTCCCATTGATGTTCCTCCTTATTCTATGTGGGTATTTTCATTTATCACACGATACCCCTAGTCTGAGATTTCATTTGAGGTTAAAAAAAAGAAAAAAAAAAAAAAAAACTCTGCTTGCTAAAAGTAATTTGAAAACTCCTAGACAAGAGGACCTTTCAAATCCCTTACAATTCTAACAACCAGTGAATTCATGCTTCACAGCCATCAGATCTATACGTATGAAATACAAGCTGTGTGTGTTCAACTTTCCTGCATTGCCTCCTTTAAACTTTCTTTTTTTCTTTTTTGAGTAAATCCCTGCAGGAACAGACCAAGTGAGCCCATTAAGAGGACAGTTCATTTCCACCTGCCACCTCGAGCCAGCCAACAATCTCAGCCTCACCACTCCATTCTTGATTATGTAGAACCATTCCAATCCTGAGTGACAGGATTTGCAAAGACAGCTGTTGGGCTCTACAAACATTTGGAGGAGGGGAAAATGTGAGGTTGGTTGCTACATTCTCCTACTTCTTTTTACTGAAAGGAACAGCTGCGATCTTCACATGTAAGACTAAGTAAACAAAAGCTGACAATGTGCAGCACCATTCAGCAGTAAGCATTCAAATGGATTTTTCCTCACCGCGTTTGCAGGCCCAGCACAGTTTCAGTTCCCCACAGCACAGAGAGGAAGCGAGGTCTTTGCATGCTCGGTTCCCTTGGCCAAACACTGCCCTAGATGTGCAATTCGACCCAGATAAAGCAAGCGTTATTCAAGAGCCGTGACTCTTTCACTATTACTTATTACCCGCACAGGGCATTGTCAGGTTCCAGCAACTCTGTGTGTACCAGGCAGAAATGCAGTGTTTATCTCTGAGAGGCAAGCATTCTTACGCTCATTGGCATGAGCATCCACGCTGAACTGGCTGTCGGGGAAGTAGGTTCCTGCATGGGAAAGTCAAGGTATGTTTAGAGGGACTCGATGATTCAACCCCGTGGCTGGCTCATTCCTTTTGTTCCTCTGCTTTTTTATTTGCTTACACAGAAAACAGAGTATTCATTTATTTCCTTTCCCACTCTCATCCCTCTTAACCGCTAGGGCCATCTGCCCATCTGAAACTGTCTCTGGCTCCACAGTTGTGAATTCAGGTGACAGTCAAAATGAATAAGTGGTGATTGTCCCTGCATGTTTTCTCTGAAGGGTTAAAAAAAAAAAAGCCTTTTTGTCTGTTTTGAGTTCTCCAGTTGAAATACTGTACTCATTGAACAGATAAAACCTGCAAGTAGGCACTGTGCTAATGTAATAGAAATGTGTTAGGCAGGGGCACTGTTTCTTAAATATGCTTGAATTAAGCAAGTTCTTTTTAAAAGTGAGTGGGACTTTTTATGTTTTACAATTATATTTTTAATTTCTCGGGCTCAGTTTAAAACTCAAGATTCTGTGTTTCCGTTTGTCTCATTTAGGGCAGCTTGGATGACAAGTAAATGCATTGAAAAATGAAATCAAAGAATTCTTTGTGCCCTGACCTCCATGAATTTGGTGACTTAATATATCCATACAGATCTGATTTTTTAATCAAAGGTGCTCACAAGTGGGGTAAGGGATAAAGAAGGAATTTGTCTAGAGGATTCCTTTATCCTAAGATGCCTTACAACATCCAATAGTGTGTGTGTGTGTTTTTTTTTTTTTACAAACCCATTGCTATGCTAAGAAGTATTGATTCCATTTAGTTAAACATGTCGAGTAAGAGGAAGTGCTCAATGGATTACTTCTTCAAAACATTTATCCCCTTAGTGGAATCCTCTGATTTTTATAACCTTAAAGAGACAGGTATAGGAGTTAGGAGAAGAATTTAAAATTTGAAATGTCTTCTTTTTCCATCTCTGTTAATGACAACTCTAGTTAATGCATGTGATTTTCTGGGTCTCCTTCTCTACTTCCCTCTATTATCACCACCTTTTGTTGCTGCTGCTGCTGCTGTGGGTGCCCTGAGGAACATGAGATGATAGCCTTCCTCAGATAACTGGGTTTTAAATTCAGTTCATAGCTCTTAAGTGAAGGGAGTAGGGCCAAAAACGACTCACTGCCCAGTGGTGCCTGGAAACATGATCAGCAAAGGCATTCACCTAAGGAGAAAATAAACACAGAATTCTCATATGGGCCCATCTTTCCAACCATCTCCTGGACTTTTGGTAGCCTTTTCTGAGCCAGAGATCTCTCTAAAGTCACTGGCTGTCAGATCTTTTTGTCTCACATTTAGGAATGGCTGAAGTCATTTATAAATCCCAGATGGAACAGGAGGAAAACTACTTTGAATTGGTCATTTCCATGATCTCTAAAATTCAACAAACAGTATTTCTTAAGATTAATGAATGTGAGCCCATGACAGGTTCAATGTAGGGCCAACTCAAGGGAAACTGATGACCTAAGTATCAAAAGGCATTCATTACAACACAGTTTCACCTGAAGAGGGAGTCTTCCCCAGTAGTGCTTCTGCAGCAGAATTGCTTAGAAACTGCAGAGCAACCACAAGGCAAGTACCCCAGGCCATTGTTTCGGAGTGTCTTTCAAATAGAAGACTGGCTAGTTGCCATTTGCTGAGGGCATCTCCTGCACTGGGAACTATGCACGTCTGTGGATGGTATCGCTGACACTCACAAGTATGCAAGATAGACACTAGGTGCATTTTTTTCATATTAGGAACCTGAGAATGGAAGATAGACTGGGAAAGGAAGCAGGAAGGATAGAGAGAGATTGGGCAATGAGTATGAAGTTACAGTTAAATAAGAGGAATAAATCCTGGTGCTCTGTTGCACAGTAGGGTGCTTATGGTTGACAACATTGCATTGTCCATTTCAAAATAGCTAGAAGAGAGGCTTTTGAATGTTCTCACCACAAGGATATGATAATGTATGAGGTAATGAATATGCTAAATACTCTGGTTTGATTATTACACATGGTATGCCTGTATCGAAGTATCACATTGTACCCCATAAATATGTACAACTATTATGTGTCAATTAAAAATAAAATAAAAATAGGCTGGGCACAGTGACTCATGCCTGTCATCACAGCACTCTGGAAGGCTGAGGCAGGCGGGTCACGAGGTCAGAAGATTGAGACCATCCTGGCCAACATGGTGAAACCCCATCTCTACTAAAAATACAAAAATTAGCTGATTGTGATGGCGCGTGCCTGTAATCCTAGCTACTCAGGAGGCTGAGGCAGGAGAATCACTTGAACCCAGGCGGCAGAGGTTACAGTGAGCAGAGATTGCACCACTGAACTCCAGCCTGGCGATAGAGCGAGACTCCATCTTAAAAATAATAATAATAAAATAAAAATTTTAAAATTTCTTGATAAAAGAATAAAAGATAACTTGCTTTTGGCCACACAATTTGATAGGCATCATTTAAAAAACATTATAGTATAAGGCCAGGCATGTTGGCACATGCATCAGTAGTCTCAGCTATTTAGGAGACTGAGGCAGGAGGACTGCTTGAGCCCAAGAGTTCGAGATCAGCCCAGGAGATCAAGAGGCAATATAGTGAGACTCTCATTTTAAAAAAATGTATATAGTATAGATGATATAAAAGGGCCACCTTGCCAAATGAGTCAAATTCTTCCTTAATTTAATACATTCCTAGGTAGTAAGGGTCTTTAGCGAGCTAAATTAATTCCTTGCTATGTCATAGGATACCATTTATAAGTGTTCTCTTGGGGGTTAGCTTCATTTTATGTACTAAACACCTATTTGAAAGGATCCTTGCCTTTTTCCATGTGCTAATTTGTAAAGAGTATTTATGTGTTATGGGAATTTAATTTACTCCTGCATTTTATCCAGGAAACTAGAGCCAGATGTTTTTGGACATTTGTTTTTTGCTTTAAATAAGATATCAGGTTAAGATAAGAGAAATAAATTGATTGGATACTGCATCTTCCTCTGGAGAATGTAAAACTTTTCATGTTCTACATCTCATCATACCTTACAACTTGGACTCTAATAAAAGAAAAATGTTTTAACCGTCCCTTTACTTACAGATGGCAGGGACAGGAAGGTGCACTCAATTATGCTAACAGAGCTCTCAATTAATGGAAATTCAAATTGAAGACTCCTGTTGTGGATCAGGGACCATGATTTAACATGCTTTCTAGGAGAGTTCACCACCAGGTTCCAGGAGAGGTCACAGTACTCCCGCTCTCCTGACGGCAGACCCTTGGATTTCATTTCAGGCAGTGACACACCAAGAATAAGAGGAGCTGGCTGCAGCCCTGTCCGTGTGTGTCTGCTGGCTCGCCCTCCTGTCTGGCATCTCCACGCCCTTCCTCTTCCGGATTCCCTTGCATGAGCTTCCAAGCAGAATGAACTGTCCTTCCAAATATGACCCTAACTCATTCAACAGCTGGAACGAGAGCAAACTAGAGCTCACGCGAATGGTATTAGCATTGAGTCTTTTTTCCCTCTTTCTCTCTGACTAAAAGGTATTTGGAAATTTCATCTAAAAACCTTTTGTAAAAATTTCATTCATAAAAATAGCCAAAGGGTTTCTCAGAGAGTTTCCTTTTACAAAGTCTTTTGGAGGGAATGAATGTCTACTTTATTATTTTTCCTTCCTGTCCCTAAACTTGGAGAGGATTAGAGGGTCTGGGCAAGGAGAGGAGTCTCACACCCAGCCACTCACAATTTTCCTTGCTCTGTACAGGTTCTCTGGAAGAACATAGAGCCACCTTACATGTGAGGGAATGAGAGCTTGCTTTGAAGAGCTGGACTTTCTCCTTTTACTTACCCTTGAAATTGTTTCACTCTGATCTCCAAATCAAAGAAGTGACCTACTACACATTTAGTCAAAATCTGTTTGTGCAAATAAGGTACAGTCCCTGAATTCTTCATATAGTTTTCTTATCACTAGGGGAATGGATTTAGTTCAACAACTGAGTCAGCATGAGCTCACACAAAACAAATCATTTCACACCAATGTCATTTTCTTTCCCCCACCCTCGCCTTTTTTATTTAAATAATTAGGTCAGGGAAACCCCATGTGCTTAGTATCATGTCTGCAAGGTATATGACAAACTCTGGTTACAATAGAAAGTTGTTTAGTGAATTAATGTCAAATCTGGAAAACTAGCTAATATGTCTTGGGGAGCTTGGTCCTTGCCTGTACACCTGACTGAAGATCACAAGACTAAGAAGGAAAAGTAACATACACTGAATGACAGACTCAGAGCTCAGCAGTGTCTCAGAAGCCTGTCATAGGAGCCAAACCCGATACAAAACAATCTAGCAACATTAAGTAATCATCACATTTTGTACTTGAATAAAGAAATTTAATATCATCAATTTGGGGTAGGAAAAGCCAAGTTTAATGTTGGTTAAAAAACAGTTTGAAAATTGTATTTTCTGTCTTCAATATGGTGTTTCTTCCAAAATATCTCAAGTAACCTGAATAGTAGAAATAATATCTACCATTTACTGAGTACCTAGGATCTGCTAAAATAACAAACTTACAATGAAGGTATAACTATTCCCATTTTACAGATGAAAAAAGTGGAGGTGGTTACGTAACCAGCACTAAGTCAAAGTGGCAAAGATGAAAACCAACTTGTTAGCCAGTGTTAGCTCTGTGCCTGAAATGAAAGACCTTTTCCAGGAATTTTGCATTGGTGATTCGTATCACGTATGGAAAATGTTATTCATCTCAATGAACCAAAATTAAGTCAAGACACAAAAGAATGTCTAGAGGAAGATAACTGGGATAGGAAAGAGTCTGTTAGCCATGTAAGAAAAGACACAGTCGAAGGGATGGTAAATATTTAACATGAAAAACAGAAGATTTGGTGTGGGGTATAGGAGATACCTTCAAATACTGAAGATCTGTGGTCAACTGGGGCAAATATCTTAATCAAATAAATTCTCCAACAATAAGAGTTTCATTTCAAATAAGGGGAGAGAAAGTGCCCAAAATGAGCGTGTTCAGTCACTAGAAGCAGAATTGGAGAGACACCTGCCAGGATTATTACGGAATGAAATTCTGACTTTGAAAACATTTGACCTATGTGATAAAATGAAATCACTTCCAATTTTACAGTTCTGTTTTGTAAAACTAGTTTTATCCTTCACAGAGATGCACCCAAGAGAACTGTGTGATTGATTAATGTCAGGGGTGAATGAGCATAAACAATTGAAGAAAACTTCAGAGATTTGGGCCTTGTAACTAAGATATTAATACAATTTAAAAAAACCTTTAATAACAGAGAATCACATTAAGTGGAAGATAATTAAGTAGAAATAAATAGGCAAACTGAAGGCTAAGATTTCAGTACTAGCGTAATGAGTGCATAATTCAAATATTCTTTTACATCATGGCAGAAAAATGCTAAAATCTAGGGATATATGCTGACTGGTAACTGAGTCTTATACAAATAATTTTTAAATTTATTAAATTAAATTTAAAAACCACTTGTAATATAGAACTATAAAATGTTATAATATTAACTGTTCTAGAGACTGCTTACTTCAATCTCCTAATTTTACAGTTGAAAAAAACGTGTCTCAGAAAATCTAAGGGACATATTCTCTACTCTGGGACCTGGTTCCCAATTCACGTCTCAAATTAAAAAAAAGATTCTGAAACATTCAAATCTGGAATAAAGACACCACCTATATTTTTTAGGAAGAAAATAAAATTTAAAAAAAAACCTAGTCTTAACTGCATATAATACACAAAGGTCCACTTTGTTATGGTATAAGGCAACACTGCCCCTTAGGAGTTTTAAAGTATGAATTCCACACTTCACCATGCTCTGGGATGTTTTCATAGTATTTTTAACATTGGTCCTCATAGTCTTAATTTACCTCTGGAAATTTCCATGGATACTTAAACGATAAAGAGCAAAAAAGCACATGGCTGTGTTTTTTAGAGTTGGTGAATTAGGTTCCACAAGTCTTTTGGTTTCCTTTTAGATGGTGTCTTGTCAGTTTCTAAGATCAGAGGGAGAACAGCTCCAGGAGTGCTCATGCATGCATCAGTGGTCTTCCATACTATCTGATGAAAAGATTCATTCTGTGTCTCAAAAGGATATTCTAGATCCAGTTCTGAGTCAGCAGGTCTTTGGTATATATACATAAAGTTTTCCACTGCTTCATTTTTTTAAATCCATCTGACAAGGTCAGGGTGGGATTGAGACAAGAAAAATTGGAACTAGTCCCATTTGAAACTTATTTCCTTTAAAAAACCTGTTTTTAATAATCTGAAAGTTTACATAATTTTGACATGCAAGTTATATACATGTGTGTGTATGTGTGCATGCTTGTACGTATGTTCATTTTTTTAAAAGAGATTCAAACGAAATAAATTTTGATTGGGTGCATTGCTTAAATGACTAGAGTGTCAGCTGTTATAACTTCAACTTTAAACACTGAACTAAAACATAGCCTTCATGTTCCAATTCATACTGAAGCTTTATAATATATGGCCTTAGAGTAGAAGTATAATGGTCTCTTGGGAGAGGCAGGATCCAATTAAAATTCAGTTTGCTGTCTTTTGGAAAGACATAAGCAGTTATATATCCTCTGAGAGGGTCTTAAGAAATACACACCTGAGCTTTAAATGGCTACTCATTTGACTGTGAAGTTGAATTTTAATTCATCAGGGAGTTAGAGCACAAGAAAGAATTCAAATAACAACACTCTGATATTTCCTGGTGTGTTACCAGGGAGAAAAGAGCTCCTGGAAAATGAATGCCTTACACATTTGCAGATATTACCAACCACTTATAAAAACAAGGCTATTGTTATGCATAAAAGTCACTCCTTTTAGGAGAAGCCTGAGAGTGAATTGAAATGTGGCTGACATTTCTACCACAAGATAAAATGTTTTTTTTTATATCATGTTTAAGTTCTCTTAGTTAAAAAAAGAAAAGGGAAAAAAAGAAGAAAAAAAGAAAGAAAAATATCTATAATCTGATATTCAGAAGCAATTCCAGACACTTCACCCATGAAATAACTCACTGGAAGACATTACGTTTCTAAACACAAAAGCAATTAGCAGCCTTTTCTAATTCTCTTTTAGTTCAGTAAGGAAATTTATTCAACGTATTTTGAAATCCCACATGCTGTTTTTAAAAGAGAAACTATATAGTACATTGAACAGAAAACATAAGAACGCTTTCTATCTCATTTGTTAGTTCATAACTAAGATGAAATACCCCAACACGTATAGGAACCTCCCCACCCCCACTTTACTCGAAGATTCTTTTGCTTCTTTTTACAACAAGGGTTGGGTGTATTTTTAAAAATATAAATGGAAAAAGCCACTATATTGCCCCAGAGCTACTCCACCTCACTGCCTCACTTTAAATTCTGATTGACTGTAATGAGATCACAGACAGATTGATGAAATAAGATCGATGGGTTTATTACACATCCATATTCAGGTACTAAATAGCATTGGACTTGGGGTAATTTAGTTATATAGCTCATTTATTTCTTCAACAAATTTGTTGAACAGCAGCATTAGTTAAGGCAATGCAAGCTGATGTCATAAATAAACCCCCAAATCACAATGGCCTAAAACATTAAAGGTGTAATTTTTATTCATGGAAGCAGTGCAATGTGAGAAACTACAGGATTCAGGCAGCCAGAATCCATTCCTCCTGTATTTCCATTATCGTCTAGAGCTTCGAAGCCTTCTGCATTTATCCCAGATAAGGCAAAGAAATTTGAGAAGGTGTATGTGTTTTTAACCATCGTCTGCTCACTTGCTCTTGGAATTAACAAATCACACAACCATACCTAAGTGCAAAGTGATTGAGAAGCGTATTTCCTGATGGGGCAACACCTTCCAGTGATAACTTCACACTCTGAAGGGGGTCAGCTGTAACACCTGTAATAATAATGTGCTGGACATTGTGGAATTTTCAAAAAGAAACAAAACTGGGAGCTTGTCTTCCAGAAGCATGCATTTTAGCAAATTTTTGCAAGAATCTTATTACCTCAGCAATAATAATAGTTAATATATATTAGAAGTTTGTTGTGTATTGGGCTCATTATTGTTTCAGAGGGTGTGTGGGTGGTATTTCAGGACTCAAACTCTGGTCTGTGGGCTGTCCAAACTCTGGTCTGTGGGCTGTCCAAATTTATGCTCTTGCCTTCTGCCCTCTGTAGATTTCTAATCACTTAAGGCAAGAGACTCAAGTCTGGTTCTCCTAGAAGTTCCTACCGCATGGCACAGCCCACACCAGACAATGAAAGAATGTGGATTATGCTAAACGGAACCCTAACACCTAGTACACAGGTAACTTGGCAATAAATTAGAGCTTGATTCCAACTCATAAAAAGCTGTACTCCAAAATACAATTCACCATAAATGAAAGCCTTTCTAAGATAGGAGTTGCCTGTACTAAAAATCTTAATTTGTTTTTTAAATCTGAGTCACTTGTCATTAGAGAAATGGAAATCAAAATCAAAAGGAGATACCATCTCATGCCAGTTAGAATGATGATCTTTAAAAAAATCAGGAAACAACTGATGCTGGAGAGGATATGGAGAAATAGGAGTGCTTTTACACTGTTGGTGGGAGTGTAAATTAATCCAACCATTATAGAAGACAGTGTGGTGATTCCTCAAGGATCTAGAACTAGAAATGCCATTTGATCCAGCAATCCCTTTATTGGGCATATACCCAAAGGATTATAAATCACGATACTATAAAGACACATGCACATGTATGTTTATTGTGGCACTGTTCACAAGAGCAAATATTTGGAAACAACCCAAATGCCCATCAATGATAGACTGGATAAAGAAAATGTGGCACATATATGCCATGGAATACTATGCAGCCATAAAAAGGATTAGTTCATGTTCTTTGCAGCAACATGGATGAAGCTGGAAACCATCATTCTCACCAAACTAACACAAGAACAGAAAATCAAATACCACATTTTCTCACACATAAGCAGGAGTTGAACAATGAGAACACATGGACACAGGGAGGGGAACATCACACACCAGGGCCTGTTGGGGGCTGGGGGCTAGGGGAGGGAGAAATAGCTAATGTAGACGACTGGGTGATGGATGCAGCAAACCACCATGGCAAGTGTATAACTATGTAACAAACCTGCATGTTCTGCACATGTACCCCAGAACTTAAAGTGTAATAAAAAAAATGTTGAATCAATTGAGATGAAAACGCTAATTTGAGTAAATGAGCAATTGAGGATTAGTGAAAAAACTCAAATAAAAGTACAAGAGAGAACAAGATGCCCAAGGTAGATTAACACAACACTTTAACCAGAATGTTCTGTTATATTCTTTCTGTGCATACACCCTCTAACTAGCAAAGCTGTCTTGCTTCACATGAGCTCATCCTAGTTTGATGAGTTTTTTTTCTGAGAGAAATGAAGGGAGAATTCTTTCAGTTCTTGTTTTCTATGGAAATTCTCCTAAGTTTTAGGGACAGAGTTTTAAAAGAAGGAATTCTAGGCACTTCTTGACTTGGAGCAGAATAGAGATGTATTCCAGTAAGGAATGTAGTTCATGGGCCTAAGTGACTTGAATATGAGGTAGAATTGGGAGTAAATAACCCCAAATGTATAGATGATATTCTATCAGACAAGAGATATTACCTATAGCTTTGCAAAAGAAACAAACTTTTAGCTAGGCCTTTTGGAAGCACGTAAAATTAAGTTTACCAAGTATAGAAAAAATAGGAAATTGTCATTTAGAAGGACATGATCTATTCAGCTATTCAACCAACAAATATATCGAGTGCTTCGATGCAAGGTAGGGTATGAAGAGCAGTGGGGAGAAGGGGGTAGTAAAAAGGTGCAAGACAAAACCTATTCCCATATAGGTCAGTAGCTGAGAGCAGCAACAAAAGAGAGCAATGGGCGCATATGGTGCACCCACCTGTATCAGCTAATATGCTAGGTGAATTATTCAAATGATCTCATTTGGCACTAATGCATGTAAAGTACATAGCAAGAGGCCTGCCACAGAAAGAGCATACAACAAGTTGTAGCTGTGATTTAAATGCCAGTTTTATGCAGAGGTTATTATCTGTTTTCAAATTAAAGAAAGTGAGGCATGGTGAGGCTATACGATGCTATGAGCTGAATGTTTTTTTCCCCACAAAATGTGTATATTGGAACCTAATCACCAAGATACTTGTGATTAATTTCCAATTGCCACTGCCTTTGGGAGGTGATTAGGTCATGAAAACTCCACCTTCATGAATGTCCTTATATAATAAGAATTAGTATCCTTATAAAAGTGGACTGGGGAAGCTTATTTGTCCCTTCTGCCATGTGAGGATGTAGGAACAAGGTACCATCTTTGAAGCAGAGTGAGCTCTCATCAGACACTGAATCTGTCAATACTTTGATTATGGACTTTCCAGCCTCCAGGACTGTAAGCAATAAATTTTTGTTGTTTATAAGTTATCTCATCTAAGGTATTTTCTTACAGCAGCCTAAGTAGACTAAGATAGAGGATATATCCAAAGCCCCTTAGCTGGAGAAAGCAGACTACATGCATGGAAAGTTCAATAACAATGAGATGCTTTGTGAAATTTGCTCTCCCAGCAGTTCTATTTTACTATTAGAATATTCATCTTGGTTCCTGGGTTGTTATTCCTTAATCTGGCTGCTGAATCCCCTTTGGGTGTTTATGATTTTAACTGCCTGCCCCGGGTTCTAGTTGCCTGGGTTAGGCAATTTGCGGAAATTGAGTCCTGAGCACCTATGCTGCAGCTCCCCATGAGTCTTCCATTCTAATTCTAATCAACTTTCAGCTACCTATCTTAAGCAGAGAACCTTTTAGAGCAGGGTGATGGGGGAGCCTAGAGGTCGCATGCAAGGCCTCCCGTCTATGGAGGTTTAGTTGGAGAAAGCTGACAATGAGTTGATTCCTGTGTAGCAGTAGTCACGGACCTGGGGGCAAGAATCAGAGCACCGTGCTATCTCCCAGGGCCCCTAGAGTGTGACCCTGGGAGACAGATCTGTGAAATCCCTAAAGGACAGTGTGCCAGATTGATTAGATGATCTTGGGGGTACCTGCTAGTCTCCTTGGCTTCAGAGGGGCGTGGAGAGAGGGGGAAAGATAGGCTCAGATTCTCTCTGCCCTTGAGGCTGGTCAAACATATTGTAGCTTTATAGAGAAGTGTCTTCTCCTTGTAGCTTGTACAGATGATTTGCTAACAGGGCCTGAGACTGTTGTATCTCCCTCCATTTCAGTGACTTAAGTGTCCTCAGAACTAATCCAGGTAATCAGAACCAGGAGCAGGCAGTTAAAATCATAAATGCCCAAAAGGGACCCAGCAGCCAGGTTAAGGAATAACAACAACCCATGAACCAAGATGAATATTCTACCAGTAAAATAGAACTGCCAGAAGAGACAGATAACAACTTTAACCAAGAATCAAAAACATACTTGTGAAAATGGAAGAAAAGCATGAAAATAACTTTCTAGCAATCGAAAATACAGTTTTGAATTTAAAAACAGCTGTTCAGCTAAGGAAAGGATGGTCTAGGATGAGACAGACTCATCTGTAATATAGGATATTATAAGATAGATACCAAATGAGTAGTTTTGATTCTCAGATGGAATTGGCCATTAGACTCACCTGTTAAAAATACAGACTTATCAGCTTACCCACCCCTAATAGATCAGGAACTCTGGAAGTTGAGCCAATGAAACGGCATTTTTGTTTGAAGTGGCCACTGGTTTGGGGCACTGGTTATGGGGGCTGTGGAAACTGGCAGTAAATGTTGAATGAGTTATCAGGGCTGCAGGGATGGTTATAAGGACTGCGGGAGAGAGAGGAGAACTGAAATAGGCTGTGAGAGGTGGGGAGAGGTTATCGATAGTGACTTAAAAATATGAAACAAAGATGGTTTTGTCAGCATGATCCCAAGTTTTCACCAGATGTAGACACAAACACTTGTCACAACTGTCGATGAAACAGCAAGTCTAAAATTTCTATGTTTAGCCTTAAATAATATAAAACACATCAGATAAATAAGAAGTTGAATTATTACAATTTTGCAAATGTTTAGGAAGCTTGCGTTCATCTAGTTCACATTTCCTTCACTGTGTGTGCATGTTTGAGAACCTTTAGTCTTACTTTTTTAATCACTGACAATAACTATGGTCCATTTATCTCCCAATGTTCTATTTCAAGAAAGATGGATCCGTTTGTCAAGTTCTGAGCAAACAGTAGGAATAAGTGGAGTGCTTGGAAGGCAAATCTGAAGTGGTGTGTTCAGTTTGATAAAATCACCCTTGCATATTTTTCTCCGAAGTTTCCTGAACCACTCCACTAAGGGAGACTACCTAGTACTTCTTGGCTTTCTTTTCAAATGGCTGCTTCTGAGTCACTGATGTAAAATAACAGGAATCAAAGGATTTGCGGATCAAGAAAAATGACTCCTATCATTTCCAGTAGGTTATTTCCTTGGAGCTGTTCCCCTCTGCCCCCGGAAGGCATGATGGATTTGGACTAAATGTAATCAAATATTTTCACCTGCATCCTTATTTCCTGAAAGTAGCTCAGTTCCATGAAGCTGAACTTTCTGCAGCCATGAGACCCATGGCATGTCTGCCTCCTTAGGGGAAATAAACTTGATGTTTCCCTGAGTCAGAACCACAGAACAACCATCTCGTGAAATGCTCTATGCCAAACCAAAAGCACTCTGCACTCAGAGGGCTACAAGGCTCATGAACATATCCAAGCTTCTGGGAGCCCTGCAGCAGAGAAATTATTTCACTTATAAATCTCTTTAACTTAGCCACTTGTATCACTTTCAAGTGCTGCCTTAACAAAGTACCAAAGGGGTGGTTTAGACAACAGAAATGTATTGTCTCACAGTTCTGGAGGCTAGAAGTTCAAAGTCAAAGTATTGGCAGCCCTGTCCTAAGCCTCCCTCCTTGTCTTGTAGATGGCTGATTTCATGTTCACAGGACATTCTCTCCATGTAGGTGTCTATCTCCAAATTCCACCTATAAAGACACCAGTCATAGTGGATTAGAATCCATCTAAAGAATTCATTTTACTAACTTGGCATCCTCTGTAAAGACCCTCTCTCCAAATAAAGTTACATTCTGAGGTTCTGAGGTTTAGAACTTACATCTGAATTTGAGGAGAGAGATGTAATACAACTGATTATACCATTGAACCTTTTTTTTTTTCCTGTCATCTATTAACAGCCTGAAGAACACATTTAGAGAGATGTTACTGGGGCTTCACAGTCACCATGCTGTGCCTTAATGGTTTCCAAATGCCATTTGCAGAATACATGCAGAATCACTGGGAGTGCTTTTTAGAATTCGAGATTCTGCTGGGCATGGTGGCTTACACTTGTAATCCCAGTACTTTGGGAGGCCAAGGCAGGCAGATTGCTTGAGCCCAGGAATTCGAGACCAACCTGGGCAACATGGTGAAACCTAAAAATACAAATAATTAGCTGGGTGTGATGGCAGGCACCTGTAGTCCCAGCTACTTGGGAAGCTTGGGAAGTTTAGACTGCAATGAGCCATGAACCCATGATCCTGCCACTGCACTCCAGCCTGGGCAACAAGAGTGAGCAACTGTCTAAAAAAAAATTAGATTCTTGGGTCTCACCTCCACAAATTAAAATCCACTAGATCTAAGTAGGAACTCAGGAACTTGCAATTTACAAACTTGCCCAGAAGATTCTGATGCATAACTAGATTAGAGTTCTACAGCCAGTTAGTGCCCCACTACTATTTTTTAGACTTGATTTGGGCCATAAATCTTAGAATAGCTGCCTAAGAAGTGCTCTCTTTAAACAATATGAACATATAATTGTTTTCTCATCTCTGTTTTTATTATATCTTCTATCTTCCTCCATTGTAGTACAAACCACTTGATGTGCGTAGATTCTGCCTTACTCATCTTTTTATTCTCAGTGTGTACCAGAGAATCCACACATAAATAACATTCAGTAAGTGTTTATTGAAGAAATAAATACCTCCAGCAACACAGGTAAACTGTACAATTGTTTCATTGTTTAAAGAAATTCTTGGCCAGGCACAGTGGCTCATGCCGTGTATCCCAGAACTTTGGGAGGCCGGGACAGGTGGATCTCTTAAGCTCAGGAGTTTGAGACCAGCCTGGCCAACATGGCGAAACCCCATCTCTATTAGAAACACAAAAAAAGGAAATGTAACCCACCATGGTGGTATGTGCCTGTGGTCCCAGATACTCAGGTGACTGAGGCAGGAGAACTGCTTGAACCTGGGAGGCAGAGGTTACAGTGAGCTGAGATCACGCTGCTGCACTCCAGCCTGGGTGACAGAGCAAGACTCCATCTCAAAAGAAATGTTATTGACGTTGACATATCTTTGTACTTGAGAGAACTCAGCTACTCTTAAAATATTAACGCATGCAGCCATGTCTGCTGTCCTGCCTCATTTTTACTCCTGCCATAATAGCTTACCTTTGGTTTTAGGACATATCTTTCTCTTTCCAGCCTCAAGGTTCTTTTGCACATGCTATCTTGGAGCTCTTCTCTCTACCCTCTTTCTCCACCCCACCCTCAATTGCCAGTACTGTCTCCAAATGAATATTTGTTCTGCCCCTCGAATTAGAAGTGGTGCCCCGTTAAACGTTTTCATGATACTTCATTTTTTTCCCATCGAGATACTAATCATACTTATAACAAATTGTTCAATGGTTGCTCTCTCTGACAAACTCTAATCTACATGTGGGCTGGCTTTATGTCTGTTGTGTTCATTTTTGAAGCCACAGAAATCTGAACAGAATAGGAACTCAAATATTAATTGAGTTGCTATGTACTTCACCATGATTGCATATTTTTTCCCACCATTAAATTGGGAGCCTTTCTACAGCAGGGACTAGATTAATTTATTTTTCTATTTTTGGTACCTGGCACAGTGCCTGAAAGGCAGAACAAGCACAATAAATTTTCTTAAAATTTGTAAAGCTTTTGTTTATTTGAATGGATGTTTACGTTTTGCCTAGATGAAAGCCTGGGATAGAAATTTAGAACAAGGTTGGATGTTGGTGATCATATAGATTTGTTCTTTCTTGTCATTAGAGTGAGAACTTAAAAAAAAAAATCTGTCAAATAAAAATAAACCAGAATAACAGGGACTATTTAATGGAACCAAGGGACCTCAGACAACTGACATACTTCTAAAAAGCAGAAAGTAATAGTAAATGAGATAATGGCGAACAAGTTAGTTTTCCCATTGCCAACAGAGCACTTCATATACAGCTCTTGGCAGTCATCTTCTTATGGAGAAACTGGAACACTTATGGAGTGGCAGTTCCACCAATTCCCTTTTTCTAACAGCAGAAAAACCTGAAGGAGAGAAGCTCAACTACAGTCCAGCTGGGATCTGTGGCAATGACTTGACTTAAAGTTATGTAAGTGATCAGGACCGTATGTGGTCCGTACCCCTCTTCCTGAGGATGCTACTCAGCTGTTTAACTCTCTCAAACATTTTGTTCTTTTACTGACAACCTACTGCAGTCAAATTGTTTATTCCCATAATATGGAAAATTGGCTCTGTAGTAATTTCTGTTCCTAATTCTAGGCAATCATGCAAGATAAGGGGAATGGGCACCTATTTCTCTGGGGAAGGTGAAAGGTGTCTTTTATCTCTTTCCAGTATCCCCACTATGTAGAGCTGATCATGAGGGAGAGGAGAAAAAATTTGCATTGGACCAAATCACTGCCTTAGAAAAAAAACCAGATTGCAATCCCATCCATTTTTCTTGAAAGGTAAGTGAATTTTTAACATCTGCAATGAGTTGGGATGATACCCACTGAGATCTCTTGGCAGTTAAAACAGAGGAAAAAAAAGGTTACCTCTTTGGCCCCTTTGGGAAGGGATATGAACTAGTAATAAAACCTCAGCGTCGGGGCTTGGGAGTCTGACTCAAAGTGGCTAAGACTAGGAGTATCTTCTAATATAAATATGGCAGCATTAGAAAAATGGCTTGGCCTTTAGAGAGACCCAGATTATCTTCACTTTAAAAACTACCAAGACCCTGATCCAACAAGGCCACCATCACAGCAGTAAATACATATCCACTAACTTCACAAAAGGTTTTCCACTGAGACATTGTGAAAACCACAATCCATTACTGGTGGACGAGTCCCAGCTCTCTTACTACCTGGGGTTTCCAAGCAAGACTTACCTGTCCTTTGTTCTAGATTGATTCCTGGGATCCTAGACCAACTCAAAGCCTCAAGGGAAATAAAAGTGAAAGTTTCAGTGATAGTTTAAATATATGCTTTCAAATGTTAGCTTTTTAAAAAAATACTGTAGACTGATGGGTGGAGCATTTCAACCACAACGGCAAAGAATGAATTACCAGCAGTGTCAGCATCCTGTTGCTGTGGGAAGAGAGCTGTCATGTTGAGAGGTGCTTCGTGGAGAGGCTCATGCAGCTCTCTGAGGAAATGAGGGTGGCTTCTGTCCCACTGCTAGTGAGGAGCTGAGGCCCTCAAATCCAGTAGTCCATGAGGAACTAAATCCTACCAACAACTACATGAGTGAGCCTGGAATCCGATTTTCCCCAGTTGGAGACTTAAGGTACCAACCACCCAGCTGTTATGGGCTAAACTGCAAACTGCTCAAATTTATACTTTGGAGTCTTAACTCCCAGTATCTCAGAACAATGACTTTATTTGGAGACAGCCATTAAAGAGGTAAGGTAGTTAAAATGAGGTCATGAGGACAAGTCCTAATCCAATAGGACTGGTTTTCTAATACGAAGAGGAAATTTGAATACAGACACATATAGAGGAAAGGCCACGAGAAGAAGACACAGGAAAGAAGTGGCCATCTAAAATTCAAGGAGAGAGGCCTCAGAACAAGCCAAGCCTGCAGATATCTTGATCTAGCCTCCAGAATTGTATGAAAATACACTTTTGTTATTTAAGCCACCCAGTCTGTAGTGCTTTGCTATGGCAATCCCAGGAAACTAATTAACTAATTGACTGCAGCCTTGCTAGGAACCCTGAACCAGAGAACCCAGTTAAGCTGTGGGTATATTCCTGACTCACAGAACTAGCAGATAATAAATATATTTCCTAAGGTGCAAATGTTGGGATAATATGTTTTGTAGCTATGTTGTTTTTGCACATGTGCCACGTAATGATGCTTTGGTCAACAACAGACAATATATATGATGGTGGTCCCATAAGATTGTAATACTGTATTTCTATTGTGCATTCTCTATGTTTAGATACACAAATACTCACCACTGTGTCACAGTTGCCTACAGTATTAAGTAGTATAACATGCTGTACAGGATTGTAGCCGAGAATCAATAGACTATACCATACAGCCTGCGTGTGTAGTAGGCTATACCATCTGTTTGCAAAGTATACTCTAGATGTTCACATAACTATGAACTTGCCTGGTGATGTATTTCTCAGAATGTATGCCCGACATTAAGCGACACATGGCTTTAGTCTATCATGCATTTAAGATACTGCAATGTAGTTAACTTATGTTTTAATACATCTCTTAATTCTGTTTTGATCCCACACCCACCAAGGTGCAAAATAAATTTTTTCACCCATTTCCTAAGAAACATAATCACAATGGACTCAATGTGGTGTTTGTCATTTTCCCTGAAGATTTGTGGTAGTATAGAAAGCAGTGACAGCACGCTGTATAAAGCTCTTCCATGGCCATCTACAATCAAAGGAGAGAGGGCTAAGCACAAGCCAACCCTGCATATACCTTGATCTAGGCCTCTAGAATTGTATGAAAAGACATTTTTGTTATTCAAGCCACCTCTTTTTGTAGTCACCTCTATAACTTGAAAGAATGGTCCAACCAACCCCAAAGCTCTGGAAATTGGCCCCAAAATAATTTTACCCTGAAGTCATTGAAGCTTAAGTTTCAGGACCCAGTTTCATGGTCCTGAGAGCTCTGCACGTCACTGGGAGCTATGGAGTGTTCTAGGTAGAATTGGAAAATGAGGTGAAACTACCTCAAAAAGTCTCAGAAGCCTGCATCTCCAAGCCTCTGGCAATTTTCTTGTGGTTTCTATTTTCATTCTAGATATTTGCTTTTGAGACTGATTTTAAATTCAGAATTTTGTATTCTCTCAAAAAGAGGATTCTCCAAATTCTATAAGCTTCAGGCTCTACAAAACCTATCTATTCTGCCTAACTAGATTGATCATGGCACATACCAGAGATGGCTGTGCCTCATGAGAACTTTTCATATCAGACCCTTAGAGGATAATATTTTTGCCTATAGTTACATATAATTGATTTTCATGCACCTGTATCATGTTGACCATAGTCAGTGTCCATGTCCCATTTATTTTTTGCGTCCTTGGTGCTCAGAAAGTTACCAGATGTTCAGTTCAGAATTTTATTCAAAATATATTGTTGAATTAGATTTAAAGATAGATTAAATTAATTCCTACACATGATCTGATTTAATGGATAAAATAAAGGACCAAGCATTAGCCTGAACTGTATGCTTGCATTAGCCATGATGTTCCCCAGAGAGAATAATATTTGAGGAACACTGCATAGGCTGAAAAACAAGAGTTCCCAGCAGACCTGTGGGAACTTTTCTTTTCTTCTTCATGCTGTGAGACACCTGGGGAAAGTTCCACATCTGGTTTTTCAGCTTCCCTGCCCATGACTAGGAGGAAGATTGTATTTTATTAATGGTAAAAGAAACTATTGTTGTTACTTTAATGAAAAAGAACCAACTGGAAAGTCTAGTGGTATTTTTGAAGGCAGGGACCACTTTTTCCAGTGATTTGCTTCCCTGTGCTAGTGCTCCACTCACCCTTGCACCCCTTCAGCAAAATTCTGAGCACATTGTAGGTGTAGCAGGGAGATGTTAAGATGGAAACTTGGCCCTGACCAGGGTCTCTACTCTGGTTTTATCCATAAACATCAATATTTATCACCAGATGATATTTTGATTTCTTATCTGTCTCCTATACCTATTGATCTATTTTTCAGTTTATAATGGGGAGGGGCATGTTTAGTTATTATCCTTAAACCAAAGCAATTTCTTCTTGAAAAATGGGATGCAATGCTCTGATGTTTGCAGTCAAGGAAAATCTTGCTCTGAGAATTCCAGAAAAAAAGATTTGTCCAGATTTGAACTAATTTCAGAAAAACAGAACAAAAGCCATCCAAGGTTAAGAGGTGACTTCTGACTCACAGAATGAACAAGAAGGCAGGGGAAAAAAAGGTCCCCAAGATTCAGGTCAAAGGAAATGAACAGAAGGATGACAGAGTGGCCCAGAGGAGGATCAAGTGACAGAAAAGTCAAGATAAATTGTGGGAGGACAGAGGAACAGAACCAAAGACCTGCAGGATTATGAAAGAAAGAATGAAAGGAAGCAGATGAAGATTCTAGAGCCCAGCTGAATAGCCACGATACCTGAGGGTGAAAAGGGAGAGAAAGAGGAGGCAGTGAATCAAGTCAAAGAAGGGTAGAAAAATACAGAGAAACAAGGCAGGGCATAGTGGCTCAAATCTGTAATTCCAACACTTTGGGAGGCTGAGGAAGGCAGATCACAGGACGCCAGAAGTTCGAGACTACCCTGGCCAACATGGTGAAACCCTGTTTCTACTAGAAAAATGTGGAGAAAGTTTTGATTGTGCACTGCCAGGGGTGAGGACATAAATTTATTTGCTACATGAATGTTTTTTGAGACTTATCTAGTTCCTTTACAATTTTAATTTAGAATTTCTATAACTAGCTCTAAATCAGGATCATTAGCTGGAAGTTCTTATAAATGCAAAACAAAACAAAACTACTGCAAACAAGTGGGAGTTCTCATAACCTTAATCAGAAAGGCTTGTGCTGTATTTCTGCAGCACATGGTCTAGAGACCATGAGTTTTTAATAATAGCATTTCCATGAAAGCCCAATTGAATACAATCACCACCCAGACCAAAGTGTGGGGGAAGTCATAAAACTACTTTCAAATCCAAGTCTTCTTTGAAATTTAAAATTATATTCTACAATAATGGTTCTCAAAAACCTTAATGCAAGGGGGGAAAAAACCTAAAGCAGAATAAAGAAGATAAAAAAAAAAAGCAGGATAGGAAAAAAGACAAGCCAGAGGCTGGCTACATCTTTTCATAAAGCATATCAGGCCTCACAAGGGCATGGTCACTAGGCCTAGTAGTTTCAAGCCTTGGAGACTCATTTCAAACAAACTCCGTGGAAAGTCACTCAATTAAGTGTTCAGAACAATTGCATATCCCCAGTTCACTCATGTACTGGAAGTGCCTAAACTGTGTCCTCAGTGGTCAATAAAATGGTACTAAGTCACAGAAAACCCATTGCCATTAGTATTGGCTGATGTCTCTGGTAGTTTATGTGATGAAAAATATTAGCCTTAACAGCAGAGCCTTCCTTTGTTAGATTTCTGTTTGAAATTCTGTGGCTGGGAGATGTTTATGTTCACATGAAAATAACTAAGCAAACCATCTTATGGTAAACATCTCCAGAAAAAGCAAATTCCATCTTTTTAAATAGGAAAAAAAGGCAAGAGTAAAATGAAATTAATGCCTTTGTTTCCTTGTGTTGTAAAATTATCCTGAAGTTATTTCACACTGTCCTAAGAAATCATTGAATTCAGATTATATCATGGTATATGGCTCTTACAAAGCTGTGTTAGGCATCATTAAAATTGCATCTTTAAGGAGGTTGATTAGATAAGATAAACAGATACTCTTGATTGAGAGCCATCTCAACAAAGGCGAAACAACTGTATTAATTTAATTTAATTTAACCAATGTGTTTATTGTTCCCTGCCTTCTTCCAGAAAGGATTTAGGGAGCTTAGCTCATGTGGAGGTCTGACGGTATAGATACTCATGAAAGCCTCAGATTAATATCTAGAATATATAACGTGTCCAGATAGTTTTCAATTATCAATGCATTAATCTAAGCCTGGAAAGGACTTTTAAACTGCAGTGAAACCTCAACTAGCTTCAAACCTGCATTTTCTAGTAAGCTATTTCGTCATTTGGAGACTCACACAAAAAACCTATTGTTCCTTTAAAAAGGAGAGAGAGAAAAAAAAGAAAAACAACCTTCTGGTGTTGCTTAGTTCATCTTATCACCTTATCATTCAGCAGCCCATTCAGGATCAAATGTGGGAAAGTCTATGTGTGAGATTAAGCCCCATACTCTGCACAGGAATTTCCTGGATAAACGTCTTTCTTAAATTGGTAGCTATGTAAAAAAAATAGAAGAAAAACTATATTATTACAATGTAGGTTTTTTTGTTGTTGTTGTTATCCAGTATATTTCAAACCTAATATTTAAAATTAAGAAAATTCAAAGCAGACCATCTGTGTGGATGTTTTCATACTCTATTTTTGTGACAGCAGCCTGCTTAACCAAGATTGTTAGTGGATTCCTTCAATAAGAGGAAGAGAGTACCATCGTTAAGATGGTATGCCTCCCCTATCCTTTTGTTTTTGAGATTAAAGAGTGACTATATATACATATACACACACACAAACACACACACACATTTTTATTATTAAGACGGAGTCTCACTCTGTCACCAAGGCTAGAGTGCAGCGGCACGATCTTGGCTTACTGGAACCTCTGCCTCCAAGGTTCAAGCGATTCCCCCACTTCAGCCTCCTGAGTAGCTGGGATTACAGGCACCCGCCACCATGCCCAGCTAATTTTTGCATTGTTAGTAGAGATGGGGTTTCACCACGTTGGCCAGACTGGTCTTGAACTCCTGACCTCAAGTGATCCACCCCCTCCCTCTGCATCCCACAGTGTTGGGATTACAGGTGTGAGCCACCACACCTGCCCCCAAAAAATATTTTCTTAAAAACAAGAGTTATTTTCTGTCTAACTATGTCAATATTTCATGAACATTGTGGGGGAAAGAATATTCACACAGTTCTCTAAATATAGCAGTGAGTTGAGGTCCCAAGTATAGAATTCTACTGAATTCTGATCTCAACACTGAAGCAGACGTATTCTAAAATCCTTCTACCTGGACTAACCCCAGACTATACCCAGATTCCATCTAAGAGATGCAATGGAGTCAAACCACACAATTGAGGAATATTTATTATATATCTGTAGAAGTGAGAGAGTATTTATAGATGTGACAAACAATTGATCAGATACTACTGGACGTTTAGAGGCTTCACTAAATTTTTCACTAAATTTGTTGATAGCTGTTTAATTCTAAAGCTCATTCTACTACACTACTCATTTTCCCTTGGGCAATTTCGTGGGCATCAATTCACTGAAAAGAAAAACGAGTATGTATTATCTCACTAGTACATGAATAACTATCTCAAACACAATGCTTTCTACATGGTTTACTACTAACCTACATCATTTAAGTTTTAGATTTTACAGTATTTTGGGGGGGATGAATAAATAGCATGCTGTTCTTTTATTTCTAGCAAATGAGACTCAGCTTTGGACACAAGAGGAAGGAATACAGGAGACGTTTCCTTGAATGAGTCTTATTCCTTAACTCTCTGCTAGAAGTATTTCAGAAAGAGAAGGTTATCTCAATCTCCAAGTTATGAAAACATGAGGTCTTTCTGTTTTCTAGGGAAAGTATTTCATGTCCTAGTGTGGCTTTTTGCACACCCCAGAAGGAGGAAGACAAGCCATCATGTCACCTTTACACGGCAGTTGAGATGGTTCACATTTGTACATAACATCTCATGTAATCAAAAGAGGGACTCAAACTAGACAGTGGAGAATAAGGGAATACATCGAAATCTGGCAGTTATGTTAATCAATCAATTCCCTGGGCCCCCAAAAGATTCTCCTCTACTTGCCATTTCAAAACAGCTAATGAGAGGGATAATTGGACATGGAGACCCTGAATTTCCACAACTCATGGTTTCCTTCCCTGGGCTCCCAGTCACCTGCAGAGCCCTGGATTACCTCAAATGTCATATCGGATTCATTGCATTACACACTGCCTCCTTCTGCCAATAAACAACAAGTTCTTTGGGGACAGAAACTGTGATTTATGGTCATTTGTATCCCTAGAGATTTACAGTGCCTGATACCGAGTGGGGATAGATGATTTTATCATCATCATCCTCATCATCATTGTACCTAGAGAGGTTACTACCTGTTTCTTTTATTTAATAATAACCTATTATACTATGCATTTTTAATGCACTTTACAATTATCGTCCTCATTTTATCCCTGTAAAGTGAATACTATTATTGGCTCCATTTTACAGATAAGACACCGAGTCATGAAAAGGCTAAGTAGCTCATACAAGATCGCACAGCCAGTGACAGAACTAGGGTTCAGGGGGACTCTTAAAGACTCTCATTTGTCATTCAGAGGCATGCTGTGCTCCGCAGCACTAATATGACCTTGCTGAAGGCAATTGTCATATTACTATGATAGGTTTCTCTGTCGCCCTTAAGACCCAAAGTTTCTAGAGATCAGAACCTATACTGTTTATTTGCAAAATCATGGGTTTAGGAGCCAGAGAGATCTCGATCTAAGTCCTGGCTCATCTGCCTCTTCCTTGTGGGATTAGTAGATTGACTTTCTTCTTGCTTAGCCATACAGTTTGAGTAGAATTCGACCCATTCTCAGCTACAACCATGGGTTGTTTAAGCCAATCATCAGTGCCCAATTTTCTGGACTTTGATTGCTTTAAAGGTGGACATATGACTGCTTTGGACCAATGAGGCTCAGGTGGTATTTTGTGAGGATTTCTGGAATAGAAAATCATTTCTCTTCTGACAGAACTACCAGGTAAGATGTAATCACTGATGGTGAAAGATAAAGATCATTATATTAAGAACTGTTGGCTGTCATACTGCTAGTGTGAGGTGAGCTAGCCTCAGGAAGACGATGCTACCTTGAAAGGCAGGGTAGACATATGGAAAGAAACTGACTTTGTGGTGACACTGATGAGCTATTTAGTTGATCAGCTGAATCCCAAACTACTTGTTTGTTTCAGCTCTGTAAGCCAACACATTTCCTGAGTGTTTTAGCCTGTTTCAGTTTTTTTTTTCTGCTGTTTGTTAATGAGAGGTTTCTAACACCTACAGTTCTAGACAAATTATATAGAAATCTGAATCTTTGCCCAGGCACAGTGGCTCACGCCTGTAATCTCAGCACTTTGGGAGGCTGAGGTGGGTGGACCACCTGAGGTCGGGAGTTGGCGACAGTCTGGCCAACATGGGGAAACCCTGTCTCTACTAAAAATACAAAATTAGCCAGGCATGGTGACACAAGTCTGTAATCCCAGCTACTTGGAAGCCTGAGGCAGGAAAATCACTTAAACCCAGGAGGCAGAGTTTGCAGTGAGCCGAGATTGTGCCACTACACTCCAGTCTGGGAGACAGAGCAAGACTCTGTCTCAAAAAACAAAGTCTGAATATTTGAACGTTTTCATATAGCTTTTTAAAAGACTAGATTAAGTTATAGATGTAAGCACCAATGCATTTTTTAAAGTATGTTGCATGAATGATTAAAGACTAAGTGAATTCAGCAAGTTTGTAACCCTTGAGCTTTGTGAGTTCAATCTGCCCTCAGTCATCTGACAATTACCCAAACAGACTCAACCATTTTGTGTCATCAAGGTGAATAGAAAGGACCTGAAGATATTCTTTTTTATATTTTTTGCAATAGTTCCTAGCGTTTTTATCTGTTGAGTTTTTGAGTGTGCTTGTTATGGCTTTAATGCTAAACTCAATGCAAGCTGGGTTTATGTAATTCAGTGGTTTCTAAACATAGGCTTCCTAAATGTTCCATTACACAAGAAGACAAAATATAAAACAAAATAACATCAAACTACCATTAACCATTATTATTGTCAGAGTCAGTAAAAACTGCTTTGAGATAAAGCAGCTTTTCAGCCCAGTATTTGAGAACTATTCATAGAGTTTTTATGCAGGCAATAAATGAAGTGTTTTGGAACAAATTTGGATTTAGACTTTCAAGACCAACCTGAACTGGAATCTTCAATCTGCACCTTTGCTAGCTGTGGCTTCTTTTTAATTGATTAACTTTCTCTGGATCCTGTTTGGTTTTCTGTAAAATGGGAATAATGACTCTTACCTCCTACAAGTGTTGTGATAGTAGGTATTCCAAATGAAATAAATATGTAAAATCACTCTAAAACTTCCAGAATACATGGAAATACTTATAATTTGCCAATACATATAGTCTGAAGTTGATGTGGGATGCTTGAGCTTAGAGAGGGGAGGGGCATCTGCCATTATTGAGGCATGAGTAGGTGGTTCTCCCCTCAGTGTAAACAAAGCTGCCAGGAAGTTCAAACTGGGTAGAGCCTACCACAGCTCAGCAAAGCCACTGTAGACAGACTGCCTCTTCAGATTCCTCCTCTCTAGGCAGGAAATCTCTGAAAGAAAGGCAGTAGCCCCAGTCAGGAACTTACAGCTAAAACTCATCTCCCTGGGACAGAGCACCTGGGAGAAGGGGCGGCTGTGGGCACAGCTTCAGCAGACTTTAATGTCTCTGCCTACCAGCTCTGAAGAGAGCAGTGGATCTCCCAGCACAGCACTAGAACTCTGCTAAGGGATGACAGATTGACTCTTCAAGTGGGTCCTTGACCTGCATGCCTCTTGACTAGGAGACACCTCGCAGCAGGGATGGACAGACACCACATGTAGGAGAGCTCCAGCTGGCATGTGGCAGTGCCCCTCTGGGATGAAGCTTCCAAAGGAAGAAATGGGCAGCAATCTTTGCTGTTCTGCAAGCTCCACTGGTGATATCCAGGCAAACAGGACCTGGAGTAGACCTCCAGCAAACTTTAGCAGACCTGTAGCAGAGGGGCCTGACTGTTGGAAGGGAAACTAATAAACAGAAAGGAAAAGCATCAACATCAGCAAAAAGGACATCCACACAAAAACCCCATCTGAAGGTCACCAGCATCAAAGACCAAAGGTAGATAAATCCACGAAGATGAGGAAAAACCAGCATAAAAAGGCTGAAAATTCCAAAAACCAGAATGCCTCTTCTCTTTTAAAGGATCACAACTCCTCACCAGAAAAAGCACAAAATTGGACAGAGAATAAGTTTGACAAATTGACAGGAGTAGGCTTCAGAAAGTGGGTAATAACAAACTTTTTGAGATAAAGGAGCATGTTCTAAAACAATGCAAGAAAGCTAAGAACCTTGAAAAAAGGATAGAGAAATTTCTAACTAAAATAACCAGTTTAGAGAAGAACACAAATGACCTGAAGGAACTGAAAAACACAGTATGAGAACTTCATGAAGCTTACACAAGTATCAATAGCCAAATTGGTCAACCAGAAGAAAGGCTATCAGAGACTAAAGATTAACTTAATGATAGAAAGTGTGAAGACAGGATTAGATGATAAGGAAAAGGAACAAACAAAACCTCCAAGAAATATGAGACTATGTGAAAAGACCAAACCTACGTTTGATTGGTGTACCTGAAAGTGACAGGGAGCATGGAACCAAGTTGGAAAACACTCTTCCGGATATCATCCAGGAGAACTTCCCCTACCTAGCAAGGCAGGCCAATGTTCAAATTAGGAAATACAGAGAACACCACAAAGATACTCCTTGAGAAGAGCAACCCTGAGATACACAATCATCAGATTCACCAAGGTCGAAATGAAGGAAAAAATGTTAAGGGAATCCAGAGAGAAAGGTTGCGTTACCCACAAAGGGAAGCCCATTAGACTACACTACAAGTTAGAAGAGAGTAGGGGCCAATATTCAACATTCTTAAAGAAAAGGACTTTCAACACAGAATTTCATATCCAGCCAAACTAAGCTACAGAAGCAAAGGAGAAATAAAATCCTTTAGAGATAAGCAAATGCTGAGAGATTTGTCACCACTAGGCCTGCCTTACAAGAGCTCCTGAAGGAAGCACTAAATATGGAAAGGAAAAACCAGTACCAGCCACTGCAAAAACATACGAAATTGTAAAGACCATTGACATTATGAAGAAATTGCATCAATTAAAGGGCAAAATAACCAGCTAGCATTATAATGACAGGATCAAATTCATACATAACAGTATTAACCTTAAATGTAAATGGTCTAAATGCCCCAATTAAAAGACACAGACTGGCAAATTGGATAAAGAGTAAGGCCCATCAGGGTACTGTATTCAGGAGACCCATCTCATGTGCAAAATACACATAGGCTTAAAAGAAAGAGATGGAGGAATATTTATCAAGCAAATGGAAAGCAAGAAAAAAAAAGCAGGCATTGCATTTCTAGTCTCTGATTAAACAGACTTTAAACCAACAAAGATCATAAAAGACAAAGAAGGGGATTACATAATGGTAAAGGGATCAATACAACAAGAACTATCCTAAATATAGATGCACCCAAAATGGGAGCATCCATATTCATAAAGCAAGTTCTTAGAGACCTACAAAGAGACTTAGACTCCCACACAATAATATTGGGAGACTTTAACACCCCACTGTCAATATTAGACAGATCAACAAGACAGAAAATTGACAAGCATATTCAGGACTTTAACTGAGCTCTGAACCAAGATAACTCAATAGACATCTACAGAACTGTCCACACCAAATCAACAGAATATAAATTCTACTCAGCACTGCATTGCACTTATTCTAAAATTGACCATGTAGTTGGTAGTAAAACACTCCTGAGCAAATGCAAAAGAACAGACTTCGTAACAAACAGTCTCTCAGACCATAGTGCAATCAAATTAGAACTCAGGATTAAGAAATTCACTCAAAACCACACAACTACATGGAAACTGAACAATGTTCCTGAATCACTATTGTTATCTAGGAACAATGTTCCTAAATAACAAAATTAAGGATGAAATAAATAAGTTCTTTGAAACCATAATGAAGATACAACATACCAGAATCTCTGGGACACAGCTAAAGCAGTGTTTAGAAGGAAATTTACAGCACTAAATGCCCACAGGAGAAAGCAGCAAAGATTTAAAACTGACACCAAACATCAAAGATAAAAGAACTAGAGAAGAAAGAGCAAATAAATTCAAAAGCAAGCAGAAGATAAGGAATAACTAAGATCAGAGCAGAACTGAAGGAGACAGAGATACAAAAATCCCTTCAAAGGATCAATGAATCCAGAAGCTGGGTTTTTTTAAAAAAGATCAAGAAAACAGATAGACCACTAGCCAGACTAATAAAGAAGAAGAGAGAAGAATCAAATAGACACAATAAAAAATGATAAAGGGGATATCACCACCGATCCCACAGAAATACAAACTACCATCAGAGAAACTATAACCACATCTACAAAAATAAACTAGAAAATCTAGAATAAATGAATAAATTCCTGGACACAAAAACCCTCCCAAGACTAAACAAGGAAGAAGTTGAATCCCGGAAAAGACCAATAACAAGTTCTAAAATTGAGGCAGTAATTAATAGCTCAGCAACCAAAAAAGCCCAGGACCAGATGGATTCAAGCCAAATTCCACCAAAGGTAGAAAGAGGAGCTGATACCATTCCTTCTGAAACTCTTCCAAACAATAAGAAAAGAAGGACTCCCCCTGACTCATTTTATGAGGCCAGCATCATCATGATACCAAAATCTGGCAAGACACAACAAAAAAGAAAATTTCAGGTCAATATCCCTGATGAACATCCATGTGAAATACTCCGTAAAATACTAGCAAACCAAATCCAGCAGCATACCAAAAAGCTTATCCACCACAATCAAGTCAGCTTCATCCTTGGAATGCAAGGCTGGTTCAACATATGCAAATCAATAAACATAATCCATCACATAAACAGAACCAATGACAAAAACCACATGATTATCTCAATAGAGGCAGAAAAAGCGTTTGATAAAATTCAATACCCCTTCATGCTAAAACTCTCAATAAACTAGGTATTCATGGAATGTTTCTCAAAATAATAATAACTATTTATGACAGACCCACAGCCAATATCATACTGAATGGGAAACACTGAAAGCATTCCCTTTGGTCAATTTGTCATGGAGAGCTTCCAACAAATTTTTAGGAGTGGGTTAAGGTACAGATGATGTAAAAGGAGGAGTAGAGGTACTGGAAGTGAGTTATCTGCTAAGCCACTTACCCAAGGAGGCCTTCCAGCTCTCCTTAAACATGTGAGGTGGTGATTGGCCTCCCTGCTTCCTGGCCTATACCTCTGCTGTCCAATACAGCAGCCAGTAACTTGGCACATGCTGCCCCTAAGCTCTTGAACCTGGCTTGTCTAAATTGAGATGTGTTGGAGTTATAAGATATATGTCATACTTTAGACTCAGTACAAAAAAGTCATAAGATAGTTCAATCATTTTAATTGATTATTTTCACTGGAGAGATCTGATGAAGCTGAGAATTCTGCTTACATTGTAATCCAACAACCCACTGGATTTGTCTCTTCTACTGATATTCGCCTGCTAGAGATGAGATTCCTCCAGGGTGATCATTGAAATACTATGGTTTGTTACTGTGATTAAATAGAGAATTTATAGCTTTGTACCTGTCATTGTTTTTAAGTTCTTTAGTACAACTACAAGTGGCCAGCAGTTCTTTCACTTCCTCAGAGTCATTCCAGTGTTGTGCTTTTCATGTCTTATGACCACCGATTGTTCCACCAAACCTTTGCCTTTAAGGAAGAGACTAGTACAAAAACAAAACAACTCTGCTTTGCAGAAATCGTTATTGGTTATTATACCACAGTAGAGAGGAAATGCTTGGGTAAGGAACACCAATAATATGTCAGAAATGATCTAAGGTTTGGAAACAGGTTATTTGGAGAAATATTTACTTTCTTAGACAAAAAGTTACAAGATATCATCATTAAATTTAAAATACGTAATAGGTGTGAAAATTAGGGGAATCTTCTGAGCAAGTCTGCAAGTTGTGCAAGTTCTTAGCTCTATTTCCTATAAAATGAAGGGGCTGGACTCGATGACCAAGATTCCCTTCCACTCTGTCTTTGAATTTATGATATTTGAGTTAAATACTTCAGGGTTATGTGTATGCAAAATACTCTTGAACAAATTTTCTAAACATTACAAAACTCATAAGGAATTGCTCACATTTGGTTCCTGTCTTTTAAATCTTAATGTACACTAGAACACACCAGCTTTCTATTCTCAGTCATAACATAGCCATAAATAGAACAAGTGCTAGAGGCTTATCACTCAGAGTCTCTGCTGGCAGCGACAGCTTTGTGGAAACAGAAGGGCATTAAAATACTAGCAAAAGGCAAATTCTTCATTGAGATTCTTGATCAGGTTCTACATCAACATTCCTGGGAACAACATCGTTTCCATCATCTCCCATGATTTTAACAGATGCCATTGTCTGAGACGATAGCCCTTTTGCTTTCTTTCTTTTATTTCTCCCTACATGCATAGTCAAATGCAATTTTGAAAATTTAAGTCATCATCTGAGGGCCTGAAATTATAATCGTCTTATTCTCTTTTATTCAAGAGTAGAGGTTACTTTGTTCAAGAGTTGTTTTTACTTTAATCAAAATGAGGAACTAGCAACTGCAACATTAGCTATGTGTGGGGCATGATGGCTCACATCTGTCATCTCAGAACTTTGGGAGGCCAAGGTGGATGGATGGCTCGAGCTCAGGAGTTCGAGACCAGCCTGGGCAACATGAAGAGACCCCCATTTCTACAAAAATTAGCAGGGTGTGTTGGCACACACCTGGAGTCCTAGCTACTCAAGAAGTTGAGATGGGAGGATAGCTTGACCTGGAAAGTTAAGGCTGCAGTGAGCCGAGATTACCCAGGTTGGCGTGCAATGGTGTGAAATTTGCCATAGTTAAATTCCACATTTCAATCTGATTGGATTTCAGTCTAACTCTGTCTTATGAAAGTTATCAAGCCATTTTGGGTATCTGTTTCCTGGAGCCATAAAGTGTCTGCTTTTGGAAGGAAATAGAGGAAAAAATATAACTTTTCCTCTCCTTTTGTCCCACTCAAAACAACTGGGACTAGAATGAAGTTTTATGAAGATCATGCTGATATTCTTATCAGGCTGAATAAGCCAGGCAAAATGTAAACCACAGCCAATGATCAGATATTTTTTTCTCCATTCCTTATGTAGGAAGGGATTCATTATTAAAAGTAGCATAGTGACTGGGCTAAGGCCATTCTAACTCTTGAATAAAACACCATCGGAAATGTAGAGCCAAGTAAAGTTTTTATTTTATTAATCATCGGAAAAAGCACGTCAGTGGAATGAAACACTGAAAATCGGTGGTTCTAAGTGTTATCTGGTATCACAGTCTCCAAGAGACTTGTTAAAACACAGTCTGATGGGCTTTAAGTCCAGCAATTCCGATTCCTCAAGATGGGGTGGGGCCCAAGAATTTTTATTTTTCACAGATCTACAGGTGCTACTGATACTATTGGTTTGGGGAACCTCACTTTGAGAGTAATTCCCTCAAGGTATCATCATAACAAAGAATGTGAGTGCTCTACTTGATCAGTTCTGAACCTAAAATTTTTAAGAGGGCAAGAGGATCAATTTGCAATCAAACTCTAGATTACACCCATACTTTATCCACCTTCTAGCTCTCCTGCTTTTGGGGGTGGAGGGAAATGCTGACAGAGTTGAGATGCAAGAGATGCTGTTTCAAACAATTATAAATGAATGCAACTTGCTCATCACCCTTTTGAAGGAAATGGGCTTGAAATCCAATTCTCCTCAGCAGTCTTCATTTAAAAACAGCCAGAAATTACATGATTTTATTCTAACTTTCATACTCACAGAAATCTTAGTTTTGTTCCTCTTCCCATTAGTGGTTTCTAGGAATCATCAGCAGAAACCCCTCAAGGAAACAGGTAGTGGCACTAATCAGACTGAGTAATAATACTAGGGTGAAGCCACACAGGGTAGTTTCTGGCCCAAAAGGGAAGCATCTCTGAGTTATAAGAATATGACAGTGATCCAGTTGTCATTCCTGTGTGCCCACCATGTTCCTAGCATATAGCATATTAATGCATCTTGCACAGGGCTTTGTTATATATCAGGTTCTTAATAAAGGCTGAATGAATGGGTGAATGAGTGAATGAATAAATGTAAAAAAAAATCAGTACTATAATGTCTTCTATAGTGAACTTGCTGAGTTGAAGTCTATAGCAATATTCACCTCAACTTCCATGCTTTACATCAGCATCAGCATTTTGTGAGGAAAGTACAAATTGTCATGTCTGCTCCGCTCACAGGAATGCTTCTAATGGCTACCTCCAATTCATTTTGTAAATATCAGTCTTCTTGGTCACAGAGTGGGCAAGACCAATCAGAATACCCCATTTTCCTGCCTACAGTGATGGATCCAATAGGCAGTCAGATGGCCCAAAGAGGGCCAGTAATAGTTTTCCCTGGGACATTTTACATTGAAATTTCATTTTTGTTTTTTTTTTCAAAACAGGGCTTCACTTCCATTACCAGGCTGGAGTGCAATGACACAGTCTTGGCTTACTGCAATCTCTGCCTCCTAGGCTCAAGCGATTCTCCTGCCTCAGCCTTCTGAGTAGCTGGGACTACAGGCGCCCACCACTACACCCAGCTAATTTTGTATTTTTAGTAGAGACAAGGTTTCACCATGTGGTCCAGTTTGGTCTTGAACTCCTGACCTCAAGTGATCTGCCTGCCTCGGCCTCCCAAATTGCTGGGATTATAGGCATGAGCTGCCGAGCCTGGCCTTACATTGAAATTTCAAAAGAGATATTGCTTTTTCTTTCTTGTCATATTGCTTTTAGGCTGTCACCTGGGCAATTGTCAAGTGGGTAAATAGATATGTAAGTTCAGGAGTCAAAAAGAGAGAGAATGGTTGAAGCAAAAAGTAAAAATTTATGAGTATGATGAGGGACTTATCCCTAAGTCTACTTGCTTCTTTTCCTGGGTTCACATCTAGATTAAAGTTTCCAGCCACCCTTGCAATTTAAATCTGGTCATATAACCAAATTCTGGCCAGTATCATATGAGGAAAAATGATGGATGCTATTCTCTGGCCCATAAAAATCTCTTGTGCCTGATCTTTTCACTTTTGGCTCACTTGTTACAATCATGTATGATAACCTTGAAAGCTATGAGTTGAAGACAGCAGAACTAAAAAATAGAAGGAGTCTACATTTCTCCATTGAGAGGGTTGTTCACTAACCAAGAACATTCAGTTTAGATTTCATGTCAGTTGGAAATGTGTCTACTATGCTTAATCATTATGTATTTTTGAATTTATTTCTTATATCAGATAGCATTATTTTAACTAATAAAGGAATTAGGGTATAAATGCCATTTAAAGCATGAGGTTATATGACATCTCCTAGGGAGAGGAGTTAGAGAAGAGAAATGGTATGAAGTTTGAGCCCTGAGGCACTTCAACATTTAAAAATCAAGAAAAAGAAGGAAATTGGCAAAGGAGTCTGAGAAGGACTATGTAAGTGGGTGGGGAAAAATCAAGGGCACTGTGATGTTCTTGTAATAATGAAGAAAAATGTCAGAGAAGAAAGGGGTGATATGCTATATTTAATCACTGAGATCTTTTGTTTCTGTACGTTTTTTCAATTTTATGAGATGCTTCAGTATTTTTCCAATACATTTCCTGTTATTTTTTTTAAGTAATTTGAGTTAGAGTTTCGCCAACCAAGAGTCCTTGACTATGGTAGGCACCCTCTACAATGGACCCAAGAGATTCCTACCTACTGGTATTCATGTCCTCAATAATCTCTTCCTGCCCTTGAATATAGGCTGAACTTACTAATATACTTCTAATCAATAGATTGTCACAGAAGTGATGGGATGTCACTTTGAAATTAGGTTATAAGAAAATAGTGACTTCTACCATTGGTGCACCCTCATGTGCTCTCTTGGACCATTCATCCTGGGAAAAGCCATTGCTAGGGTGAGAGACAGCCTTGTGTAGAGGCTCATGTGGCAAGAAACCAAGAACTGCCAGTACCATGTGAGTGAGCTTAAAACGGATCTTCCATCCCAGCTTAACTTTTGGATGAGATGTCAGTCCCAGACTACATCTTGTGAGTAAAACCTCATAAAAGATCTCAGCCAAAACCACCAGTGAAGCCATGTTCAGGTTTTTGATCTACAGAAACAGTGAGCTAAAGGTTATTTTTAGCCATTACATTTTTAGGGTAATTTGTTATGAAGCAATAGATAACTAATGCATTCACTAATATGCTTGATGAGTAGAGATAAATATTTCCATTACTTATACCGAAGTAGTACAAAGCCTAATAATATTTGCTTATTTGTTCTATTTGTTTAACCAATATTTTTAGACATTTACTCTAATACAGCACTGGATTTATTAAAGTATTTTAGATACTTTTATATACTGGAGCTATTAAAGTAGGTGATACAGATCAGGTATCAGTAAGAAGATAATTTAAGATAAGGATAGGTCTTATCAAGATAATAAAAAAGAATAGCGTGATATAGAATTAGGCTTCTCTTTTGAGAGGTCAGGGAAAGAAGGGCTTCCTGAGAAAAGTCATTTGTGCTGTGAAGTAAATGAAGGAATAAACAGCTATGAAAACAGCAATGGACAGAGATTTCCAAGAGAGAAAATGGTAAGTGTGAAGCCCTGGGCTGGAAATGAAGCTGCCATGTTTGAGAAACAAAAAAAAAGCTAGTATTGCTACTATGTGAGGAGCAAAGGGATGAGTGGTCAGAGATGTGGTTGGGGAGAGTAGACTTTGTAAGAAAAGGTAAGAAGGTTGGATTTTATTTCAAAAAACTTACATTCAAATTATGAACATTAGCACGGAGACAAGACAATTTGGGAGATGGACTCTAAGAGCAATAAACTGAGAGAGCATGATAGAATAATGAGGATGCTAGGGCTGCCAATTTGGATAGATCAGTCGGCATTTGGGGGCTGGGGGGATTATAGGAGAACATAGTCCTAATGGATTTTTAAAAAACAAAAATATAGATATTGGGGAATGAGGTATTTTTGGGAGGAATACATGCAAAACCTCTGAGGCAGGCGTGAGTTGGAGTCTTTAAAAAACTGAAAGATGACCAGTAGATCTGGAGCACAGTGAGCGAAACAGAGCTATAGCATAAGGCGAAAGAGGAATTCAAGCCACACCCTGCAGGTCTTGTAAAACCTGGTTAAGAGCTTGGATTTTGTTTGAAAATCATGTGGAGTCTACTGAAGAATTAAAGTGCAGAAATTATGTTTCATTTTCCTCATGGTTACAATGCAATGAAATTGAATCAAATACATACTAATCTATTGAACAGCTCCTAAACTGTGTGCATGGGAATTAAAGAGGCATGAGATGTGCCCCAGGCTTGAGTGGGCACATAGGCCAAGATTAGAAATAGACAGAAGCTCAAAAATCTACATATGCGAAAGTCCAGAGAAGAAATGGATCCATTTATTCCATGTGAGTAATGGCAAGCCTACAGAAGAGAAAACTTTTCATCTGGATCTCACAGGATGAGTGGAGCTCCCTAGGTAAACAAAGAAAGAAGAACCTCATAAGAAGTAGAAATATATGTGAGAGCATGGAATATCTGGCAGAGCTTGCACTATCCAGGGAGCGGGAAACAAGTCAATATTACTGAGTCCATGGAGGAAAAGTGAGACGAGAGAGATAAAGATTCAGAGGTAGGTCAAGACTTTCAAATGTTTAGCTTGGAAAGAGTCTTTTAAGACTTAATGTCAAGAACTGCTACTCATTGTTCAATAATAAACTTTTACTAAGACATGACTATGCTCCATGCATTCTTTATTGTGTGATCACATTTATGCTTCACCTAAAAACCATATTTTAGATACAAAATCTGAGGCTTCTAAAAACAAGATACTATGCCTAGAGATGTACAGTTATCACATGGCAAGCTGTGGAATCAAACTTGTTTGTATTGTTTCTCTCTGAAGGGTGTGTTTAGAAAGACTGAGTGGAACTTTATGGTTGGTGAAGGGCTCATATGGAGTAGTAGAGAGAGAAATCGCTGAGGGTAGGCTGATTCCAAAGGTAGGCTGGAATCAGACTGAAGAAGGTCACTTTGACTATGAAGCTTAGGAGCTTGTACTAAATCTTGAGAAAATAGGAATAAAGATTTTTGAGCAAAAAGTTGACATGATTGCAATCTAGTTTGGAAGATTGATGTGGTGTCTGTTTATACCAATGCGGATTACAGGGGAAGAGACTGAAGGAAGAAAAGCCTATCAAGAAGCTGGCTTAGGTGTATGATGATATGGGTCTAAACTGAGTGGTAAAAATAAAAATGGAAAGAAAGACAGGAATGAGAGTAATCTCTCCAAGAAGGAGTCAATAGGGCTGGTGACCAGTTTAATATAGGTATGGGGAAGGTGAGGTTATGAAGAGTAAGTCTAAATAATTTTAAGAATGGTGCTATAATAAACAGAATAGGGAAGTTAACAAAAGGACCAGGTTTGAGTGAAGTAAGAAGAAAGAAGACAAATATCAACCGTATAAGTTGGATTAGAGGCAACAACATTGGAGATAAATGTGTAGCTAGAGAACGGAAGGGGCCTTGCCCAAAAATAATGGTTTGGGGTTCATCTTCAGAGAGGCAGTCAAAATTCGGAGCGTTGGCTGGGCACCACAGCACACGCCTGGAATCCCAGCACTTTGGGATACTGATGCAGGAGAATCACTTGAGCCCAGGAGTTCAAGGCCAGCCTGGGCAACACAGTGAAACCCTGACTCTACAAAAAATTAAAAAAAAAAATAGCCAGGTATGGTAGCACGTGCTTATAGTCCCAGCTACTTGGGAGGCTGAGGCAGGAGGATTGCTGAATCCAGAAAGTCAAGCTGCAGCCAGCTGTGACTGCACGACTGCATTTCAGCCTGGGTGGCAGAGTGACATCCTGTCTCAAAAAATATTAATTAATGATTAATTTTAAAAAACTTGAGAGTTCATAGGTTTCTTTTTGTTTGTTTGTTTTTGTTTTGAGATGGAGTTTCGCTGTTGTTGCCCAGGTTTGAGTGCAATACTGCGATCTCAGTTTACCGTAATCTCCGCCTCCCAGGTTCAAGCAATTTTCCTGCCTCAGCCTTCCAAGTAGGTGGGATTACAGGCCTGTGCCACCACATCCAGCTAATTTTGTATTTTTAGTAGAGATGAGGCTTCTGAGAGTTCATGAGTTTCTAAAGAAAGACAAAAACAGTAGTGTTACAGATGCTACTGGTTTCCAACATCCACTCCCCATCTTGAACATCCTAATCAAATTCCCATTTGGTTCAGCTACACCCCACCTCCCTTCAGCCACATGCTTCCCTCAAAGGTGTTCCCAGATCCAGAGAGTAGATCCTGAGTGGTCTAAGCCAAGAGTGGTCCCTCCCACCTCTGTTAGGAATGCACACAGGACACGAAACTAGGTAATGAGACAGAAGTCAGCTGGGAGAGCCTAAGGATGCAGAGGAACAGATGGCTCCCGTGGTCCCCTGGACATTGTCCTATCTCTGTCCTGACTGGAAACCTGGACCTGCTCTGCCATTCTGGGCATCTGAGAGTCAGGCTTCATTGAGCAAAATCATCCCATGATACAACCAGGAACCATGCCTCTGAAATTACTCAGGAACAAATAGGAACCAAAACTCTAGAATCAGATTCAAACATCTAAACACCAATGAAACACAGAGAAGCCTTGGTCAGGAGCTAGGAAGGCAAAAAAAAAAAAATTTTTTAATAAAAATAAAAATAAAAATAAGCTCTAAAGCCAAGTGTCAGGGAATTGAAAAGAGCTAGAGATTTTGGCAGGGCTTAGGACAGGCTGGGCTGAAATAACCAAGCAGAGATAAAGTGAGCTAGAACTAGGAAGGAACATTTGGAGACAATAATCTTTTCTGACCAGCAAACTCAAAGAGCTGCGCTTCACAGGATACCTGAGGCGATTCTAGGGTCAGCAAAAGGTTGTTTCTGAACTATTAAACACATTTTCTTTTTTAAGAGAAATACTCACATTGACAGGGCAAGTCATTCCAAAACCAGACTCAATACAGCTATTATTCAGATTCACCTTGTCAGTGTGAAAATATGGGTTGAAAGGGACTTTGCTACTTGAAATTAAGTGTGATCACACTCGGCAGCCTAGGGAAGCACTCCAATCCAAACCGCAATTATGAGAGGCTGGGCGCCACAGGGAGTGGGGAGTAGCATTCAGAAAAAGAGAAGGGGTTCCTTCTCTGGGATTTTCCCTGTTTGCAGCCTGAATCCCACGTGAATGTTCTCTCTCTTCCGTCATTCTCTGTTCCTGCGTTCCCGCATCCTCTTCTCACTTCTCCTACACAGTTACCTCTTCCTTGGAGAGAGTATCTGGACCCTTGGGTGACAGTCATATGTGGCTTCACAAGCTGCTGGAATTAACTAAAACTCATTCTTTCCCAATAAATCTCCCCCGAGCCGACACACAGCAGCTGCAAATTCCCAGCATGGGCCTGGACAAAATACTAAGAAAAACTGGCTATGTTCCTGAATCTTGCTTATCGTGGGTCCCCAAGAATCCTGGACACTGACATCAAGATATTCCAAGAAGAGTTGTGCTTTTCCAAGCTCGATCTTTACTTAACCTACCTTGAAGATTCAGCACTGTAATTTCCCAGAAGTGTGGGCTGGGCTTGCTTTGAGAAAAGGTGAAATAGACAAGACACAGAGTTCAGAAAATAGTGATTAAATACAAACAGCGCCAGCTATTAGGTAAGAGTTAAGGGCAGGAAATGCAAATAAAATTGCCAAGGGTTATTTAGGTAGTGGCCACTCAGAAGGAGAGGTAATAATTGGTTGCAAAATGGTTGCTACAGACGTCTTTCCTGATTTAATGAATTTGTGAAGGTTTGCTTCTTTTTCCAGCTTTCATTTCATTCATGGTGGGGGATGGCTGGGGGATGGAGGGGATATGGAAAGTTGAGCACAAGTGCACAAAGTATTTACTGGCTAAAAATGCCTATGCTTCTGCCAAGATTGTGTTTATTTGTTAAAAATATACTTCATTGTGTCGTTACAAAACTAAATCTGTCCCCAGCCCCCATGGAGACAGGGTGATTGGGTTTCAGGGTGAGGTGCCAGCTACTGCTTTCGGGGGCATTAATGTGCCAGCTGCTCCTCCAGCATTCATTTTATTTCCAGTCCCTAGGCTGGTTTTACACTTTGTGTTTTTTTGTAAGGAAATCAGGATTAGAGAGCCTTTTGTCAGTGACGGGGAGGGGAAGAGAAGTATCCCCTTTGAGCTCCATATACAGGGCAGCCTAACGGGCAAGGCTCAAAGCTTTGATTTAGTTCTCATTCACTAACATTTTGAAAAAGAAAAGATCCACCGCATCAAGCTGCTCTGTTGGAAGCTTGTAAGGCAATAGATTTGAGGACTGGAGTTTTCAGAATGCAATCTGCAGTCACCAGGCCAGGGTTACCTTTAAGCTCCATGCAGATTAAACATTCCCGGCCAGGCCAAGAGACATCTATAGAAAACAACCCCTCAAAATCCTACAGCAAAAGGCATTATTGGGTGGTCCTGTCTAAGGGCTGAATAGGGTGTGTGTATTCCTACTTGATTTTTATGATGTTAATTCTTTGTACCCACTTGGAAATGCCAGACTGCTACTAGGGTCCAAAGTCCCCTCATTGGCCAGCTCGTCCCAGTGCAGTGATCAGTGACCAGCTGGAAGTACTCCAGCCAGAGTCTCCTCTGCTGAGCAAATCACCCAGCCTCCAAAAGAAAGAAAAAGAGGCCATGTTTAGTGAGCAACCCCTCTTAAAATTGAATTGCTACACACACACACACACACACACACACACACATCATGCAATTTTTTGTTGGTTGTTTGAGACAGGAAGAAAATTACTAACAAAATTCCCTCAATGAACACTTCCTTCTTTCTTTCTTTTCTTTTTTTGACAGAGTCCTGCTCTGTCACCCAGGCTAAAGTACAGTGGCAGAATCACAGCTCACTGCAACCTCTGCCTCCCAGGCTCAAGCGATCCTCCCACCTCAGCCTCCTGAGTAGCTGGGACTACAAGCACATAGCACCCTCCCCAGCTAATTTTTATATTTTTTGTGGACGTGGGGTTTCAGTGTGTTGTCCAGGCTGGTTTTGAACTCCTGGACAATCTGCCCACCTCGGCCTCTCAAAGTGCTGGGATTACAGGCATGAGCCACCGCACCTGGCCCCTCTCTTTTATTTTTAAGGGCAGAAAAAGACCAAGTGAAAAAGGAGCCTCCCTGATCCTCCTCCTCTTTCCCCTTGCAGCCCAGCATCAAAACACTCATTCTTAGGCTAGAGCAGGGGTGGAAAAGTGCAGGAACATTAGGCCTTGTCTGTGTATTGGCTCCTTAGGAGCTATTGTTGTTCAGCAGCTGTTCCTCTTGCTTCCTAGGAAGCCCTGCCTGCAAGTGGGCTGGGGAACCCGTGTGACACTGGCAGCTGGGGGAAGTGGGGAGGAACATGGAATCTTTTTTGCACCTCGAGAAATATGGGCTTTGTTTCTCAAAAAAGAGCAGAGATCCTGTTTCTGGGTAGCTGTTATCAGAAATGGTTTTAATAAATACCGTCAAAGAGTGAGAGTAAGAGTGAGCGTGTGTGTGTGTGTGTGTGTGTGTGTGTGTTTCAGGGGCAGAGGATAAAAGAGAAAGAGAAGATAAACCCACAATATACTCAACCTTTAATCCTGTTTTTTTTTTTTAAGTAGGAAAAGCTGAAAAATTTCAGCCAAATGAAAAGCATAAAGTGGTTGAGAAAGGCTTTATGACTAAGAGAGGACTGCAATGGAAAATACGTAAAAAGAGAAGTTAAACCAGCTGGCTTATTTAATTTTGACTCCCCACTCCCCCTTTCACTTTTTTTTTTACCTTCAGCTTAAACTAGGGAAAAATGTACTGTGTAAATATTCAGTGTTTTTCTTAGTTTTTAGCCCTAACAAAATTTTTTATAGGGCTTAGTTTAGTGAATCTCCAGAGACTGGGTGTGAACGTAACTTTTCACCCCTGGGTCACAGGTCACTTCCTGCTTCTTCTTGTAAGTTAAAGTTCTCACTATTCCATGGGTCTGCTGTACCCAGAAGTGGGGGTAGGGATGAGGGATGGGAGAGTGGAGTGGGGGATGGGGGGAAACGCAATGCCTATTCATTTCTCACATTATTCTATTGTTAGGAACATTTCTCCTCCCATACCCAAGAGCTAAATGTCAAAGTTCTATTCCAAAGTACGTGAATAAATTAATACATTCCAAGTTTATTAATGTATTCATGCATTCAATAAACATCATCGAAGCACTGTCAATATACTAGGCCTTGTGTTAAGTGTGAGGAAAACAAAGATAACTAAAATATATTCCCTGCCTTATACAACTTCAAACAAACAGGAGAGAGATTCAAGAACGATAATTACAGCGATTATAGTAAGTACTGTGATAAAAAAGAACAAGAAACATACAACTCTGCCTACTAGGAAGGGCAACGAAGGCTTCCAGGAGGTGAGGATATTGAAATTGTTTTTTGAGAGCTAAGTAGGAACAACCAAAAGGCCAGGAAGAGGAATGGCATTTCAGACAAAGGGAGTGGCCATGGAAAAGCCTTGTTTTCACTTTGGGTAACTGGAGCAGTCTGCAGTGTTTTATGCTGACCAGGGTTCTGGGAACCTGGGACAAAAAAAAAAAATGGGTGGGATAGGATAGACTTGGCCCATGAAGTTAAGAATTGAAACCAAGAATCTCCAAAACGCAACATCCAGGGATAAAAATATACGTAATTCCTAGTGGAAAATAACACCTACACATCATCCTAAAGGCACCAAGTAAAAAGAAAATAAAATGCAGCAACTGGAGGCAGCACAAGTTTGGAGCTGTGAGGAGGGAAGTGTGGGGCTGTCAGGGAGAAGTCCTGGCACAGAGCTGTGAGGGACTTTTAGAGGCCCGTCTGTGGTGGGGCACTGCAGTGTTCAAGACCCAGAACCTGTTCAGGCAAGTGTGGAAGCAAGAGGGCGCATACCACAGTCTGGGACTGACAGTCCTGACAAACTCCCTGACAATTGAAAAAGAAGGTAGAGAAGGGGGAATCAGGGGCTCCATCCTCAGGAGCCTTGAACATTGTCTTCCTAGCTGGGATTTCCCAAGGGTAGCATAGGTACCGCTGGTAGGAACCAATGTGTCATTACACGGTACACAAACAATGTTTTAAAGACTTGTAGTAGTTATGTACTGATTTTCTAGTTTTACACAAACTAGAAAAAAAATGGTAACTAACACACAAAATCCACAATTACTCAGATATAAAGACTGCTTAAGAGGAAGCTAACATAAAAGCACCATGGTGAGTTGATCTTTTTAAAAAATAAAACTATACCAAAAGAGGTGCTACACAAATATATCAAAAATTGAGAAGGTGGTCTATAAATGACTGAAATTTGAAAACAGTGGCAGTAGGCAGTGGGGAATCTCTGAAAAGTTAAAGCATTGGACTCTGTTGTTCTTTTGGGGTGGGGAAGACTAAAGACACTGATTAAGGGAGCTTGTATTTATTGTCCAGAACCACAGCAGACTCTGCATAGTTTTCAGGTTCATATTTCAAGATAAATTCCAATTTCAATCCTGACATATTTGGACAAGCCTTCAAGAATCTCTTCTTACTAATTTGAAATGTCCCTATCTTTATTTTCATCTTAAGTAACTTAGTGCATTTACATGAATAATTTTATTAGAAATGTGCAGTGCTCAAAATGACTTTTATGGTGCAGAAGAATAGGGTAAAGAGCTATTGAATGTTAGGTAAATCTTTGTAACGATTTGGTGAATATGATTTACATAGACTCCAGCTTCTCATTTGGTGCTTAGGTATGGTACATCATCAATTAACTATGTTTCTTATTTTCTATATTTCATGATGATTTGCCATCTTGGGGCTTTGCAAACCAGGGATGGACTGCCCCTCCCAGGGTTGGCTAATTCCTGGAAATACTAAACAACTTGGCTTAGAACACACCTTTCATATGCAAGACAACCAATCCAGGCTCCATATCCTCATCCCATCCTTTTATCAGTCTCCTCCAGTACAGAACATTATCGTCCTGCTTTAAGTCACCCAGAGCCAGGTACTGGACAATTAGAGACTAGTCTTGTAGCTCAGAGCCTGTCCAAAGGGTCCACGCTCTTCAATCTGCTTACCCTGCCTCCCCCATTCCTTCCCATAAAACCCTAAATAAAGGCTGATGCCCACTCTTTCCCCTCAATCTTTCTTCCCTCAAAGCAATCCTGGTGCTTCCCCCTGTGCCCCATTCTCTTGGGAACTATAAGCAATAAACTCTTCTTGGAAAGGAAGCTATGTGTCTGTCATGTTATAATACCTACTTAAAACAGAAATCCTAGGTATAGTTTAAAACATATCAAGTAAACTCAATTTTTAAAACTCTGTTAGATAAATGAATGAATGAATATCTTCACTCACTTAAAACATGTCTCTATATATGACTTTATTAAAAGTGTTCTTATGTGGTTTAAAGCTGTTTAAATTAGCTATCTATGGTCATCATTCTTTTGTGCAACCACACTCAGAATGTGTGAGAAATTTGGGCTCAGAGTAAATTACACATTGCAAACAATACAAAGAAACCATGTCCTCCTTGTTTTCAGGAAGACATCCAAAGAGGAATTTTCACTGGCCAGTATACCCATTTTGCTGTCTTCATGTGTGAGATATTATTTTAGTATGTCAGGGTGGTTAACTGCTCTAACAAATAACCGTAAGTTTCAATTGCGTAAGATAATAAAATTTACCTCTTAATCCTAAAATCCAGTGCAGGTGTTCATAGTTGGACAGCTCTCCTGGCTGCCTGTATGACTCAGGAATCAATAATTCTTTCATCTTGTGATGCTGCCTTTTTTTTTTTTTTTTTTTGAGATGGAGTTTTGCTCTTGTTACCCAGGCTGGAGTGCAATGGTGCGATCTCAGCTCACCGCAACCTCCGCCTCCTGGGTTCAGGCAATTCTCCTGTCTCAGCCTCCTGAGTAGCTGGGATTACAGGCACGCGCCACTGTGCCCAGCTAATTTTTTGTATTTTTAGTAGAGACAGGGTTTCACCATGTTGACCAGTATGGTCTCGATCTCTGGACCTCGTGATCCACCCTCCTCGGCCTCCCAATGTGCTGGGATTACAGGCGTGAGCCACCGTGCCCGGCTATGCTGCCATTTTTAAAACGAGGTATCCAAGGTCAGTAGAGAAGGTGGCAAAATTATGGAAAAAGTCATATCAGATATATACCCAACTTTACATGCAAATACCAATCAAAATATTTGCATATGTTCTATTGGTTCAGAAGTGGTCACATGACCTTCAGCAGATGCACAAGGACCAGAAAATATAGTCTCTGGCTGCGCTGCACTTACCAGCAACCACTCATCCTGAGGAAACAGAAGCCCAAACCTTTGGAAGTCAGCTAACCTTTTCCACCAGTTTAAGATGTTTTACCCAGAACTATATTCTGGTAATGGAGCAACAATAATTGGTCAAGTAATGATTAAATCATTGGTTCTTAACTTTCAAAGGACCATGAATCCAATAAAAATGTACAGACCTCCTTCCTAGAAAAACACATAAACATAAGCACTCACAATCTTCATGGAATTTCAGGGGCTTCATGAATTCTCTGAAGCCCATCTGTTATGATCATTAGAGAGTCATAGACCTATACTCTTGGTGCAGGTAAAATTATTTATTTCAGAGATTTGTTTTGAATAGGCTTACAAATCATAAACCATCAGCCAATTTAAATCTGATTTTTTTAAGAATCTGCTGATGGATTGGGGTCCAAGTTTTAAAAATTAATTGCTAGAATGAATAAGATCCAGAATATCGGCTGTGCGCCATCCAACTTTCAGATGCCAATTTTGTACTGAGCAGAAATCCTTATTGTCATTACTGAAAAAGACTTGTTGGTATCCTGCTATCCACTTGCTGCTCTCCAATCCATTTCACATGATAGCAAGAGTGACATCTAAAAATTCAAATTTTTTCTTGTCATTCTCTTCTAAAAATCTTTCAGTGAATAAAGACCCAAACCTTTGACATGGTGTACAAGGCCTTGAGTACACTAACACTACCTGCTTTTCACATTGTGTGCCCCTTTGCTTTTTATGCTGCTACCCAACTGGCCTCTTTCCCTTCCTCACACTTCAGGGTCTCTGATCATGCCTTTTGCCTCCATGGAATCGTCTTCCCTTTATTCTTTCATGTAGTTAGCTACCACTCTTCCTGGAGATCTCAGCTCAACTGTCATTTTCTCAGAGAAGTCTTTACAGAGACACAAAAGAAGTCCGATCTCTTCTATGTTCTTAGAGTGATGTAAGTTTTTCTGCTGGTGTTGATCATGGTTTATACCAATATTTTTGTGTGATTATTTAATTTGCCTGGGTTACTGTCACTAAAAGGTAAGCTCCTTGAGGGCAGAAACATTCAGCACCCAGTGACACAGTCAGCACCTGGCTTACTGTGTAGAATATAATGGCACTCAATATTTTGTTGAGCGAATGAATGAATGTTGCCCATGCTTTCCACTTTTTCTTGGAGAGAGGGAAGGTAAGTGATAAAGGGTCTTAAAACCAAATTATCTTCTCATTCTGAGAAGTGAATAGAAGAACCAAGTCAGAGTTTGGCATAATTTTAAAGAACTTCACAGTGAGGCAATGACTTTTACTCTACTCCATTGTAACTTCTGCTCTTAGATAACTTCCAAACCAATAAAAGAAAAAAACAGCAAAGTCTGTGTTCATCATTTCATATCGGCACAAGATGAACAGCCCATTGATGGAGTAGGGACAGTTGAGGGGGATTGTCATAAACAGACAATTCTTTCAATTGTAGGCAATATGCTATTTATTAGTAAGTAGTATACTAGTGAGCCAATCCAGGAAGGCTTCCTGGAAAAGACAGTCTTTGGGTTATATATAATCTGAAGGTCTCTTCATGACACCTCTTTTTTGAATTATATTTGATACCCTGAGTACCAACAAAATATTTTGCCCACAAATCTTGCTCATCAGCTTTTCTGTTTTGTTGTCACAAAGATAAAGCTATAAATTGTGAGAAAGACTGGCAAGACTCGGGTCAAGCTGGCATTGTAGTCCTCCAGCAGAGAACAAGATATTAAACAATTCTGTTTCACACTTCCTCTGATAGAGTGTATTATTTTTCAAAATATCCACTGTCTCCCCATGTAGGAGAATTTTATCCTTTTGTCAGTCAGCCATGTGATTTCATTTGGCAAATGACATGGGAGTAGAAGTGACATATCCAGAAGATTTGAGAGCCATGGTGAGATTCCATCATTTCCTTTCCGACACAAGGCCCACCACATCCCCAGATGGAGGTGTTCTATCAGTCTGGATCCCAATGTGAAAAGGATGAGGGACAGTCACAACTGACTGACAGCAGTCATGGAAGATGAGCAAAATATTAGCTTTACTCTTACAAGGCACTGAGATTTGAGAGTCACTTGTTCTTTCAGCATAGCCCGGCAAAAGATGACTGACACACTTTTCATCACAAAAACTGTATCTAATTGAACTCAAACTCTGAACTGTACACTGAATGAAAAAATGGTCTGTTCCAATTGAATAGGTCATCCCTCATTTTTATATAAGTGCACAGCTTCAGGAAGGCACAAATGCAGTCATGAAGGGAGAAAGTGGAGTTCTCAACCATTGAAGTCAGTGACCTAACTTCTGCATTCACCGACATGAAACATGCTGAAGTCTGTTTGCCTTGTAGTTCTCTGCTGGATGTGCCAAGAGGGCTCTATTTTAGAGAAGGAAAACTAACAATAGATTCCTGCCAACTAAAAGGGGATTTCCTTTCCTGGGAAGAAAAAAATAAATGGAAAAAAAATCTTTATCTGGTGATTTATACTAAAACAAGAATAGTCAGAGCTCATCATCATATCATTTTTAATAGTAATGTCTCATAGAGAAATATAAAGAAACTTAGTAAAGACAGAAATAGTTTTTACAGACCATTTGCCAAGCATATAAAGTTGAATTCACAACATTCCTTCCTCCTCCAGTCTACCTTATCCACTCCTGTTTCATTTCCATGTTTTGTCTTTTTTCCTTGTCCTTGCCCCAAATCTGCTCATGGTCATTTTGGAAGATGCAGAGATGATAAATATGGGTATAATAAATAGATATATCCTTTTATCTATATTTATAAATATATTTTTATATTTTCAAAGCAAAATATAAATTAAACCTACACTTGTTTCTAGGAGTTCAGTCCACACCTCTACAATATTAAAAGAATGTGCTTAACTGAAAACCTCTAAAGCTTGAAAAATTCTCTGAAAGCCACTTGAAATTTGAGGAGTTTTGACACTTACTTTTAAGGATACCAAAGTGCATTCCTATTTCCCCCAGGGTTAGCTGGCCATGAACAACTGCAATTCAGTTTCATAAGCTTTCTTTGATGCTTGCTAGGACCATAAATTCAACCTTCACATACAATGTGCAGTTTAAGAGTATGAATGATCTTACTAAAGAGCTTTTTTGCTATGAGCTTTCTATTCCAAGGTGAATCCCAGTTTAACACCCCCTCCTGCCCCAATATTCTTGAATTTGAATTGTGGTGTACAGTACCAAGGATTACTCCATATTTTCAGGCAAGATTGCCATCCTCCTAAATGTCAGTCTAAAATATTCAATGCAAAGTGTATGTGCAAAGCTAGCTTTACTGTTTAATCACTAAAGTTACCTTTGGGAAACTGCATATTGATACACAATACAGAAACCTCATGCTCAGTCACATTTAAACCAGAAGTAGGAGCAGTTAGATTTATGTACCATGATGTCAGAATTTGCAAAGGTTTTCTGATAATCTGAAGAGTAATATTGAGTTACTTTCAGCAACTATTTTACTTTATTTTTGTAGCTTTGTAATATAGTAAAAAAGCCCTGAGGGAGGAGTTAGGAACTTAGAGATTGCTAAAACGGTTTTATATACAACATTTTTGAAACCTAACAAAAAGTATAAACAGTTTGCAATGTCATAACCATGAATATAATGAATGACTTTTGTTCTGAATTGCCCTAGTCCAGTGTAAAATGTTTATAATTAGGTTGATATGCACAGAAATTCAAAGTCAATTATGTATACACATAGACGAGAGCTGACTTTCCATAATAGCTCTGTAGTTTAAAATCATCAAAAAAGAGAATACTGTAAAATGTGCCACTCCACAAATACTACAGTTCATCAATTAAGCAATACACTAAGCATGTGATGATACTAATTCCTGTGTATGTCAACCAAGAAACAGACAAACCAGCTGTTAAGTTGCTTCAGCATAAAAATAATGATTGTGTGAGTGCTTGGCTAAGTCATTCTCTCTCCCAGATCAAACATTAATGGGATAAAAATGGTTTTATGGAGCTGGCTTTTTTCTTGAAAGTCAGAGGTCTATGTCTTGGGACATGTGTGCTATTAAAAACCTCAAACACCCAATTTGTAACTTTAGATGACCAAGTTACTGAAGGTTAGAACCAAGTGAAATTTTAGACATCCTGTAGTTTATTGCTTTCATTTTTAATGATGTGAACACTGAGGACCAGATAGACAGAGGAACTTGTTCAACATGACAAATCTAGCAATAACAAACATGTAGAAAGGACTTTACCCTCATCCGCTGGTTCCTAGTCCACAGCTTTTCTTTCTGCCCTGTCACTTGGAAAACAAACACCATTTTCCAAAACCAAACAGGAGTAACAAGCATAAAATGCGAAACTTTCAAATAGGATTCAAAACTCTAAAGTAAACCTTTGAAATTTCAAATCCAGAAGCAATTTCAAAAATGAAGTCTTAGTAGAAATGCTTAAAGTATGTTCTTTGACCCCTCTGTGCGATGGGGAAAAAAGACTTGCTACTCATGTAGTAAGCTTAATATTAAGAGAACTCCATAATTTGTTTTCTGCTCAGACTAACCTTGTATTACTCTTGTTCGTTTGGAATGTCTTAAAGCCAAGGGTTATACATGAGGTACAAAATAGAAAGACAGAACTTTATAGTAAAATTGTCTCTAAATCAGAGTTGCTGACTTCATTTGACTTTTCTTTTATCAATTATAATGCACTCATTTTCCTATTATAAAATCTGCATTATACTAGAACTATTGCTTATGTATATATGATATATACACAAAAGTGAGTCTTCAGATGCACAAAAAAATGCTTTTTGGTTAAATGACCACCTCCAGGGGCCAAAGACTCAGTGCTGCCACAATTCCACACAATTTTTATTGTTCATATATCATTCACTTTCTGGAAACTGTCTTCTGAGCAATGAGTTTACACAAGTAAATTTGATTTTATTATAGCCACACCCTGTGTTTCACCAAAGGTCTTATCACTTTTGTTACCCCTATTTTTGTTTAATCTCAACTCCTGATTATTTCTTCTTATTAAAGAAATAACATTTGTCTTAAAAGGGCAATGATCTGTTACCAATGAAGATCACTTGGAAATAATATTAATCAGCCTCTATAAAATATTTCAAAGATTTTTCTTAGATTTTTTAAATTGATACACAATAATTGTACATATTTATGGAGTACATGTAATGTTGTGATATGTGCATACAATGTGTAAGGATCAAATTAGGGTAATTAAGATATCCATCAGCTGAAACATTTATCATTTCTTTGTCTTATTTCAAAGAAAATTTGATTAGCTATGGCAAGAAAATTGGAAAGAGCACATAACCTTTCAATCTTTACCACAGGAAGAAACTACTTTTATCTGTATGAACACATCTGGCACACTTCTTACACATCAGTCTCCCTGACTTGAATAATCCACATCATATAACTTATGCTTCTACAGGTGTATTTCTTAAAATTTCTTTTAGGGTAGTTTGACACCAAAAGTGAAAGAAATCCTGCTACATGTCCTAGACTATTACTTCTCTTATTTCTTGTGCAAAAAGGGCAGAAACACTCAAGCTGTGTATTAACTCATTCACTACTATAAAGAAATACCCGAGCCTGGGTAATTTAACAAGAAAAGAGGTTTAATTGGGTCACAGTTTCACAGGCTTCACTACAGGAAGCTTAGGGATTCTGTTTCTGAGGAGGTTCGGGTTTGCTACAGGAAACATAATGGCTTCTGCTCTGGAAAGTCCTTAGGGAGCTTTCACTCATGGCAGAAGGCAAAGTGGGAGCAGGCATTTCCATGGCAGGAGCAGGACTGAGAGAGAGAGGCAGAGAAGTGCCACACACTTTTAAGTGACTAGACCTCACAAGAACTCACTCACTATTGTGGACAGTATTGAAGGAGAAATCCATCCCCATGATCCAATCACCTCCCACCAGGCCCCACCTCCAATATTGGGGATTACACTTCGACATGAGATTTGGGTGGGGACACAGATCCAAACCACATCAAGCTGTAATAATTTTCATTTGTTCCATGCAACCACAATGCTCCCAGTCTCAATTTATTAATGCCTGAAATATAAACATTCAAACATATATGACTATCATGTACTGTGTATGTGTGTGTGTGTGTGTGTGTGTGTGTGTGTGTGTGTATGAACAGGGGGTGGACAGTAGTTATCTCTAATTATCCTCAATAAAAATGTTTCTTCAAGCTGCTCCAAGGCAATCATCCCAGCTAACCTGCTCTGGAGCTCTTTGGGGGCATTTGGAGAGGGGAGAAGGCCCTTTATTTCCCCTTTCGACACTGGGCTGGGGTCTCCTTATCTCTCTCAGATACTCTAACTCAGTACAGCCTGCAAACACTGTAACCCCCTTGATAAGTAAGCTGTCCTTTCCACCTAGAGCTGGGGATGCTATCTGAATAGGAGAGGAAAAGCTGTGAGTATTATATGAAAAAGGATAGTCCTTTCGTTTTCTTAGAACTATACCCTTAAAAAGGGGAAAATGAAAAGAGACCCAGGGAAGGGAACCCATATGCCAACATGGTGGCAATAGAGTCTAAGAGAGGTAATCCAGAGGCATCCTGGAGTCATTCTGGATGGGTTTGAATTCTGGCTCTGAGCTTATTTTATTCAAACTTAGACAAGACCCATAAATTCCCTATGCCTCAGTTTTCTCATCTATAAAATGGGAATCACAATACCTATACTATAGTTAACATGTCATAGGATTATAATAACAGACCCCAACACATGGTGCACACTCAATCATTACCAATGACTATCATTTACTCAGAGGCTATTGTGTCTCCAAGTGCCCAGTTAATGTAGCACCCACTTCCCTGAGAATTCTCCTGTGAATTTCTACTTTCCAAACCAAAATCGAATCTCCAAAGTAGCTATTTAATGTGAATCTACCAAAATAGCTATTTAATGACGGTATTTTCTTTCTTTGGTTAACACAATCATTCTTTGATAGTATATGTACACAATTTTCATTTTTTGTAATAGTATATTTTACTTTCTTAGATATGCATGAAAATTCCTTAAATACAAAGACAATGAAAACTCAACAATGAAAAAAAAATTTACAGCCCTCACTCATTCTCACTACACCTGCATTCGATTCATTTTTTTAGTGACAGCCAAGATAACTCATGTCCTAAAAGAAAAGACAGGGCAGAAACCAGAAGTCAGGACAACCCATTTTGCTGAACTTCCAAGCCTGGTTACTGAGCTAATTACATCCATGCTCTACAGTATGTAAATAGGGAGGATTTTATATCCTCTATGGAACCAGAGTCATGACAGCAGTTGTGAAATGCTGATGACCTTGCTGGAAATCGAGTAGGACCAGTGCTAGGTACTTCTGAAGCAGTCATGGAAGAAGTGTAGGGCCTATTGCAGGAAAACGGCTTGGTTAAGATGCTTCATTCTTCTGCAGGTGAAAGGATGGTGTTGTTGTTGTTGTTGTTTCCAACCTTCTTTCTGGCTTTCTTCAAGCTGTCTCAGCTCAGGAGCCTAAATCTTACTCCAGATATATTTTGTTTGCACCACAAACCACCACAGGGACAGCAGGAATTCATGCCCAGGAACAAATGCTAAATTGCAGCAATCTGCAAATTATCTACTCTACTGGAAAGCCCACTTAAAACCAGACTTTTAAAATAAGTAGAATTTTGGGAGGAACCCACAATCCCTTTTCGCATCACCAGGAAAACAGCTTGTCTGTAATCCTTTAATAAAGAAAAAGTATTGTAGATTAATCTCCCTTAGGCAAACACCATTACTGATATTTTAACTCCATAAGCAAGTCAACTGCAATAAACTAAAATAATGATAATAAGAATATTGTAATTACCACATACTATTTATCAATGTCTTTCTTTCATGCAGTACTTTAAAACTGCTTTATTATATATAAGATCTTTACCTTCTCATCCTTACCCCTACTTCCCACCAACTCTGACAAGAAATTACTCTCAATAACTCTGAGAAATGTCCAGTGGGTTTATTGTGAAGGACATAATTATAGCTACCGAGAAATAGACTCAGTGTAATTGAAATTAAATTAGGATAAAATTGTTTTGAGTAGATTGATAATTGTACCTTGGGCTTTAAAATAACTAAACTTATGCCAGTATCCTCACCCACACTGAGGGTGGATACATCCCCATACATCTGCTATAGTGTTTTGGTGTATCTTGGAGTAAGGCCAATCAATGTTTTTCCTCCCACATTAGCACACCTGTATTTATCTAAGATAGTTATTATCTGCACATGACAACACTCATGAGTGCTGCAAAGTTCCACTGAGAAAATTAACCTGTATGCCATTGTTGAAAGTTCTGCTTCTTCCCTGTGAAAAGCAGTTTCTTGACTGCTTTCCCATATACACTGCTTTAAACCTTCATTCCCTTCTTTTTGTGCAACCAAAACTAAACTGCTAGTACTTACCAAAGCCATATTCCCCTCTTCTTCCTAGGCCAAGCTAGAACATATTTTTCTTTCTCCCTTATGGTTGGGTGGTACCTGTGGCTGAGATCTTGCTAACAGAATGTGAGCAAAAGTGATGGGCACCATATCCAGTCCTCGGCCATAAAAACCTTCCACCTGTGAACCTAGCTGAATGGAGAGGACTGATGATTTAGAGCATATGGTAAAACCATTAGATGGAAGGACCTGGGTTCCTGAAT